AAGTCATTAAACCATGGATGATGCGGGAAACATGACATCATCGCGTTCTTAATTGCAAAAGAGTCAAAGATCGTGTACTAAACTTTGCTTCTTCTTTTTTGGGATGGATCCAAATCAAAAGCTTCATCTTCAAATTTAGAACTCAGGAGATTTGATCCCTGTTCCAGAGAGAGAATCATGGCGCTGAAGGTATATGCCGATCGAATATCCCCACCATCTCGTGCAATTCTCATCTTCTGCAAGTAACTTATCTTCTTCTCCCTTTTTTGATAATTTACCAACTGATTTCTATTTACAAATGCCTTTCCTTCGACTTTCCAATTAAAGTTTTCCGATAAGACATGAATACTAGGGTTTCATTTTTTATCTGTGACTCCGTACAAGTGTTGAAGCAATTACTTGATTGCTTAGGTTTACTATCCACCTGTTTATCGTTAAATTAGGGTTCTTTTCTTGTAGAAATTGTAATTTGTTCTTCCAGTGTATGTTCTAGAGTTCCTTCCGTTAGTTGCAGTACATTTCTGCTAGAAAAAACCCCTTCTCATTAATTTGTGCAAATCGAATTGGGGTTTTCTTTCTTCCCTTAATTGGTTTCAATAATTTCTGTATATTAATGTGTATGCATATTTTGGTTTATAGGCGAGTGAATTGAGTTTGTTGTTAAATTGATTCTTAATCCAATTTAGTCTGGTATTTAATTTTCTCTTTGATCTGCAAGTAAATTTCTAGCTGCTGCTTGTCTAAATTTGTGTTTCTTATGGCTGTTTTGAATGTTATTTTCAGGGTAAATGGGATAGATTTCGAGGAAATCCAAGTAGAGATCTTGAAAAACCAGCAATACTCCCCTGAATATAAGGGTTTGTTTCCATCTGCATTGATTTTGTGTTGAATTGGCAAACGAAAATCTTTAAAAAACACGCCCCCCAATTAAAAAACACCCCTTTCCATCCATTGAAAAACCCTGGCAAACGAAAATTTTTACAATCTATACAGACAAATTAATCTACATGAACAATTTCATTGACACAAGACTTAATGGAAAACCAACCAAACAGTCCTTTAGACTGCTATTTGTTTTCAAGCATTTTCACCGATCTTGTTTTATGCAGCAATAAACCCATTGCATCAAGTTCCAGCAATAGCTGATGGACGGTTTAAGCTCTTCGAGAGGTTCTTTTTGTTTCGCATTCTAAAATAGTTCTAGAATCCTTTTTATGTTAACTTCCGTTTCACAATGTAAAAAAAATATGCTGTGCTTTGCAGTCATGCAATCCTTATCTACCTCTCTTGTGCATTTCCTGGAGTGGCTAATCACTGGTGAGTCGGTTTTCTTATCCTTCCATATCTGCATACGAACTCTAAACTTCATTAACACTGTTCTTGTTATAACATGGATACGTTTATTATATTCATAGGTATCCTGGTGATTTATTCAAAAGGGCTAAGATCCATTCCATCTTAGACTGGCATCATTCCAATTTACGTCGTGGTTCAGGTGGTTTTGGTGAAATTTGATAACTACTTGCTGAATGGTTTTAACATGTCATACATTTCTGCTTTCAGCTGGACTTAGTTTCAATACCATTGTGGCACCACTAAAAGGCCTTCCTTCATACGCTCAAGTTACCAAGGAATCTGAGCAGGTACTTGTAAGATCTTTGTCTAAATTAGAATTGTTTTGGCTAAAAGATGGACGATTTTTGCTTGGAAGCTCTCAACCATCGATAGCAGATCTCAGTTTAGTATGTGAAATCATGGAACTTGAGGTAATGACATAAAACTCGTCAAAAGATTCAGTCATGTTTTGTCGTACCTTCCATTTTATGGCTAATTCTGCATCAAAACACAACTTCATGCGTTCAGCTTCAGAGTGAGGAGGACGGCCATCGGATATTAGGTCCTTACAAGAAAGTTCTTCAATGGATGGAAGATACAAAGAGTGCAACTGCACCTCATTTTGATGAAGTTCACGGGGTCCTTTTTAAATCCCAGAAAGGAATTCGAGAGTGGATGGCAACACAATCTGGGAAAACCGAATTGAAGTCAAAGATGTGAGATCACACAGCGAGTTCCCTATTGGTATCACTATCATTTAATTATCTCGGTTCAAGGCTAAATTCGGTTTTATTTTTTTATAATTCAGCACATAATGTTCCATACGATCTCTATTGACTTGCGATAAACCACTTTCAAGATTATGCAATCATCGTTGCATTTTAATTAACTTATTTCATATATCGTCCGTTTCAAACATAAACACATCTTAGTCTTTGATCACTTGGTAGATCTACTTTTAGTTGGCGTCAACTTGGCAGGGACAGAGGCTCGCGTAGCATACCAGGTCGTCACAACTAGTGTGACACAGTATTCGGGTTGCATTGACGTTGACCAATAGACTTTAATGAGTTCAGTTCAGCAATGTGTAGCATTTAGGGTCGGGGCGGGGGGTCGATGATTACTAACTAGCCTAGACATGCAAAACCGAGTTAAGAATTTTAAACAATAAAATGAAAAGGACGAGCAAAGAGCATCAATCAACTAATCCTCTAGATTACGTATCATCGACTCATTCAAACCATTTCCTCAAGAGAAGCCAAATTGGCTAGAACATCCACACGCGTCAATGCTCCGTTCATTATAGAAACATGATTAGCCTTGAACACTCTATGATTAATCTCTATTAGCTAATCAAACCTAGTTTAATTGCCAACCACATCAACGTCAAACAAACACTAAGACTAACCGACAATCGAGCGCCGATTGTTTAAATTAGATTATACGATCTTATAACATCAACACTTAACATAAAAATGTCAACATAAATGTCAACTGTGTGTTGTGTGCTACTTAGATAAACTGAAAAACAATTTTGGACTTAAAAATTTATCTAGCGATTCAAAATTGAATCAGACATATCAAAGGATGTTACTCAAAATATCCATGTGAAGTGTCAACGAGACCATATGCCAACCATTTTTGTTTTTTTTTCTATAAACTTTTTTTTTTTCTATAAACTTTTTTTTTCTTTTAATTGTTGTAATACAAATAATCACAAACCACTTTAGTCTAGAAATTCGTAAATGGATAATTTTTTGTTATAAAGTATTTATCAAAAATGTATGACATGTTATTTGTTCATGATTTTCAAAGCATGTTAGTTATTCTTAGGGTGTTCATCGGTTGAAATCCAATAAATTTAGGTGTATCTGATTCAATCATTCAAAGGGTGTTTCTTTTTGTCATTCGGATCGTATCGGATCCTAACAATATTTTGATACCAATTCATTCGTATATTTTTTTAACATATTAAAAATGACTACATATATTCGATGGTAGTCGGATAATAATTGGACAGGTATCTAAATGATCATTGAATTAGATGGGTTTGATTTTATTGGACTATGGATTATCATCCATCAATAAAATAGATTCAATTTGAATACTGAAATATTAGATCCGATTAAGTTCAATTATAACTGAATATTCAATTATGATTAAACTATTTAAATTTCATCGGATGAGTTTTTACGGAATCTGTAAAAGAGTAAAGAGTTTAGCATGGAAAACGACACGACAAGTTGGATTTCATGATTAAATCCAAGGATGACGTCATCGTCAAAGACTTGAAGGCGGTGTACAAGTTCCAAGGTGGATAAGACGAAAGACTATGACAGTAGCAAGCAGATGAGGTGAAGCTGTTGAAGGTTATTGGTGAGGCCATGACCATCTACGATTCCATCACAGAAATCTTCGAGTGATTTAATTACACCTTAATTTATTTTACTGGATAAGATATATGTAACAATTTTCTTGGTAAACTCTTATCCGGATAAAAGTCGGCACCCTCACTTACCGAGTAAGACTGTTCATCTTTATCATTGTTCTTACCGAATAAGATTTTTGACCCTTGTCATGTTCATCCGGTGAAGAAAGTTACCCAGTAAGCACTTTCCGGATAAACGTTTAGTAAACGGCCTCTTAGAGAATTTTCAAGAGTTATGTTATAATTCTTTTGAAATAAAGTATTAAAAGTTTAAAAATCTTTAAGAAAATTACATCTATTTTTGACAGTTAATTTATTTTAGCAATTCTAGTATTGAAATATACAATATATTTGATAATATGTTATTTTTCTCTCTTAAATATTTTTTTTCAATATCTCTTATTAATGAAAAAGAATTAAAATATTATTTTTCTCTCTTACATAGAGTTTTAACGATTTATCTAAATTTAGATATTTTTATATTTTCTTTTTACTATTTTCCTTACAATATAGTATAGTTGTTGGAGCATAAAATTTTCTTAAATCACTGTTTCTATTATAGCATAGTTGTTACCAAAAAAGCTTTTACAAGAACTTTTTTTTTATGGGTCCTCTATTTATTTTCCCAATGTAATTGATAAGTTGAAAAAATGTTGGTGATTTTAGTGTGATTATGAATTATTTGAGATCGATTAGATAATAAGACAAACATTAGTGATTTAGGAGGTACATAATGCAAAATCACAATTGTTACATTTATCACCTTATACCGCTTAATGCGGTTGAGGGGATACACCGCAAGTGGTGGGTCCATGGGGGCAGCGCCCTTGATGGTGGTTTATCTAGGAATTTTAGTTTTAGGCGTTTTGTACAAAATTTTGAAGATTGAAAATCTTATTGAAATGGTTCTAAAACTTGGTGGAAAGATGTTTAAGTGTGGACCAAAGGCAGAGCTCTGAGTCCTCGTTTAGTTGTCTAAGTGCACTTAGCGACCAAAGCCTCTGATCCTTTTGGTTGAGAGTCGAGACTTCTTCTAAGATGTGGTACTCTTGACTCAAGATTCTCAGTCTTCACTTAGTTGTCAAGTGCACTTAGTGACTAGTGCCTTTGGACCTTTTAGTCGACACTGCTTTTAAGATGTGGTACTTATGACTCAAAGCATTTGATTCGGATTTATCTGTTTCCTAATCTTATTCATTAACGATTCTAACTGTTGTGTAGTTATATTTTTTTTATCGGTTAACAACCGTTAATCTCTTATATAAATATGTAAACGTGAATATGGGTGTATATAAGAACTCAATCTTACAACCTTTAATTTAGAGTTTCATTTGGATTATCCCAATACAGAGTTTGTTATACCAAAAGCTCAAATTTTTTATAATAGATTTGGTTCTTCTCTCAACTTTTATTGTTAGGATTTGGTCTCTGCTTTTAATCAATAAAATTTGGTGGCACAAATATATATATTTTCTCTATATAATTAGTCAAATAAATAAATAAAATTTGAACCTTAGATTTTTAGATGAATTATTTTTTTTTTCATATACATTACTTTCATGAAATTCTTTAACTTAAATAAAACATAATTTTGATAAATATTTTGTTTTATCTAATTGAAAATTAAAAAAAGTTTTAAAATTAAATACCCAAAAATATATTAAATAACAAGATATAAAAATATAAGTTTAATTAATTTAATAAAACTAACTAATATACAAAAGATATATTATAATGCTTACATAAGATATAAAAATACAAATTTAACTATCATATACATTAAAAATTGTTGGATATTTAGTTTTAATTTTTTAAATTTTTTCATCTGATTAAAACAATAATTATTGAATTTATATTTTATTTGAGCTAAAATATTTCATGAAAATAATGTTTCTAAAAAGATAAAGTAGGCAAAATCTGAACTTCAAATTTTATTTAATTATTTTGTTAATTATATTTAAAAAATATATGTTTGTGCCACCAACTTTTATTGATTAAATGGATGGATCGAAAGTGTAATGCCTTATAATTGTTATTGTGGAGAAGTTTTTATAAAAACTTAACATCTCATAGGTGTTTGAACAAGAACCTTGATTCTTACCATGATTTTTTGTGAAAAATGACATTTTACTTATTTTTTTAATTTTAATTATTGATATTATAAAGAATTAACTGGACCCACAAAAGAGAGGTTCTTATAAGAGCCACCATTATTGAATTCTTAATTTAATGAGATAGATTTGAGACCACAATTAGGGGTGTAAATGATACGAGACAACTCGCGAGCTATTCAAGATCGACTCGATATATTAACGAGCCGAGTCAAACTACCCAATACTCGACTCGAAAAGCTCATAGTCGATTATTTTATATATAATTAGTTTTAAAATATAATCAGTTCTTATGATAAAATTTATAAAATATAAATAATAAAATTGTTCTATATTTTTAGATTTTTTAACAAAATTATACATTTTTTAATTATAAAACTTAATCAATTATTTTTTTTATTAAAATTACAATTAAAAAAAGATAAAGAAAAACTACAAAAAAGGTTATTGAAATTGACCTGGAAGAGAGATGGTAAATGAAGAGAGAAACAATGTTATAAAAAAAAGAGGGACGTGAATGAAATTTCTAACTTTGTTTTTTTGATGATGAAATTTGAAGTTGATCCTTTAATTTTATAAAAACTAAAAGAACATCTTTAAGTTTTAAAATTTATAAGAGAAAAACCTTAAAATTTCATAAATTTCAATGAGTGGGATTGGTTCGAGTTCGAGTTTGAGAAATAGTTTTCGAGTTCGAGTTGAGCTTTGATTTTTACTACTTGAGTTTTCGAGTTTGAGCTTAAAAATTGAGTTTCGAGTTCAGGTCGAATATAGTAATACTCGAGCTCGACTCACATCATTTATACTCCTAACTTCAATAAATAAATAAAAAAGTACAATAAAGAAGTTCTTGTAACAACCTCCATTGAAGATGGTCCGAGATGATGATATTATATAGTAAAATCCTATTTAAAGAGAGGATAAAATATAAAAAATAAAAACAAAAGTGATAAATATTTTCCATTGTGTTCTTAAATCACGAAAAAGTCAAAGATCGTGGACTGAAGTTTTAGATTTTTTTTGATTTGGGTGGAACCAAACCAAATCAAAGCATCCTTCATCTTTCAGATTCGGGAAGATTTGATTTGAGAGACAAACATGGCGCTGAAGGTATATGTTGATCGAATGTCCCAACCATCTCGTGCAGTTCTCATCTTCTGCAAGTAAATCATCTTCTTCCCACCCCTCTTATTTTTCTATTTACAAATGCCTTTTCTTCGTCCTTCCAGTTACAATTTTCCGATTTTGGCTCTTCATCTGTGATTGACTACTACAAGTGTTGAACCAATTGCTTGATTGCTGAGGCTTACTATGCACCTGTTCATCGCTAAATTGGAGTTCCTTTCGTTAGTTCCAGTAACATTTCTACTAGAAAAAACCCCTTTTCGTTAATCTATGCATATTGACTGGGTTTTTCCAAACTTTTATCTTCTCTTTTGGCTTCCCTTTCATTGGTTTCAGTAATTTCTGTAGTTGTACTTCAGTTTTCGTAAATTAATGTGTATGCATATATTGGTTCATGGGTGAGTGAATTGGGTTTGTTGTTAAATTGATTCTTAATCCAATTAACTGTTGTAATTACATTTTTTTTTATCTGCAAGTGAGTTTCTAGCTGATGCTTATCTAAATTTGTATTTCTTATGGCTGTTTTGGATGTTTTTTTCAGGGTAAATGGGATAGATTTCGAGGAGATCCGAGTAGATATCTTGAAAAACCAGCAATACTCCCCTGAATATAAGGGTTTGTTTGCTACCATCTGCTTTGATTTTGTGTTGAATTATGCATACATAGTTACAATTTTTTAGGCTTTCACAATTCACGTGCTATATGTTTTGAAGCAAATTGCTTGGTTGGTTCTTGGTTATGCTTTTTCTTTATTGCAATCAAGATGATGTGCATTGAAAACCCTTTGTTAATCTTCAATATTTGTACTTAAAATGGGAGTTTCTTGTATCTTTGATGATCCTACATGAGAAATAAGTCTAGCTTATAATAGTTTTGATTCATTGAAGTAGTTTGTATCAGTATAAGTAATTGAGGAATCTGAGGAGACTTCTCGTAGAACATCAATTCATTATTCTGCAATCCTTGGTCGGATCTACTATAGTTACAAGCACGAAATTATAAAATTGTTTCATATTCTTGCAACTTAAACACGGAGAATGATAGGTTGATGATTGTGCACCAAGATGGTTTTGCAATAATTGTGGGGAGGATTCTTTCTTTTCCTTTGCGTTTTGCAAGAGGTTGTTTCCTTGACCCGAATCCTTTACCTGAGATTGGAAGCCATTGGAGAAAAGCATTTTCGATATCGGAATTGTAGGAATCGTTCATGTACAGAAGGGGAAAACAGCAAACAATATATACCTAACATAACTATGAACTAACGACAAGAATGGTTCCTAAACTATACATATTTACATGGTGGGAGATTTGAATAGGGAGGCTACATACCTACAGAAGGTAAGAACGGAAGGTTCATATGTGAATCATTTGAAAAAAATCCATTTGAAGGTGCATATGTGAACCCATATGAAAAATCTGTAACGTCAGTTCACATATGCATCTTCAAATATCTTTTTTCGGATTTTTTCAACGATTCACTTATGAACCTTCCCTTTACCTTTTCACGATACTTAGCCTTCTTATTTGAACCGGCCTCTACATAATTATATAGCTAACATAAATGAATAGAGAAACATGAAGGATTTAAACGTTATACAGTACCTTTAAAAAATAAGACAAAAGAAACTGTCTTTTGGTGTAAAGTTCAAATCAAGTTCCATATTTACCCGCATGTTCTTTGAAATTTGAATTATACATGTTGATCATGACTGATCTTGTTTTATGCAGCGATAAATCCTATGTATCAAGTTCCAGCAATAGCTGATGGACGGTTTAAGCTCTTTGAGAGGTTCTTTCTGTTTCTTGTTCTAAAATCCTTTTTATGTACGGATTCATTTGGTCATAGCTAATGATCTAAGCACATTTTCTTCGGTTTATGTTACTCCCCGTTGTATGATGTTAAAAAAAATGTTGTGCTTTGCAGTCATGCAATTCTTATCTACATCTCTTGTGCATTTCCGGGTGTGGCTAGTCACTGGTGAGTCGGTTTTCTTCTCCTTCCATGTCTGCATACGAATGCTAAACCTCATTTAACACCGTTCTCCTTGTAACATGGATATGTTTATTATATTTATAGGTATCCTAGTGATTTATCCAAAAGAGCTAAGATCCATTCCGTCTTAGACTGGCATCATTCCAATTTACGCCGTGGTGCAGGTGATAACTAGTTTTTGTTCTTTGAATTGTTGGCTTGTTTTGTGGAAACAAGAATAAGTCATTACGTTAATTTTTCCATTTATTAGTGAAATTTGACAAGCACTTTCTGAATGCTTTTATTTTAGTGATCGTTTTGTACTTTCTGCTTTCAGCTGGACTTGTTTTCAACACTCTCCTGGCACCGATAAAAGGCCTCCCTTTAAATCCCCAAGCTGCCAAGGAATCCGAGCAGATACTCATAAGATCTTTGTCAAAATTAGAAAATTTTTGGCTAAAAGACGGACGATTTTTGGTTGGAAGCTCTCAACCATCAATAGCAGATCTCAGCTTAGTATGTGAACTCATGCAACTTGAGGTAACGATATAGAACTCATCATGTTATGTGCCGGTTTCTTTATCAAAAGATTCAATCATGTGCTGTCGTGTCTTCAACTTTTCTGCTAATTCTGTATCAAAACACAAAATTTCGTGTGTTCAGCTTCTTAGTGAAGAAGATCGGCATCGGATATTAAGTCCTTACAAGAAAGTTCTTCAATGGATGGAAGATACAAAGAGTGCAACTGCACCTCATTTTGATGAAGTTCACAGGGTTCTCTTTAAAGCCCAGAAAGGAATCCGAGAGCGCATGCCAACACAATCTGGGAAACCCGAATTGAAGTCGAAGATGTGAGATCATAGCGATTAGTTCGATATCTATATCATGGTCGTTTTGTTCTTTCTGTTCAAGACTAAATTCTGTTTGATTTCTGTATAATTCAGCATGTAATGTTGCTACATAATCTCTCCCCCTTAACTTGTGATGAACCATTTTCAAGATTATGTAATCATCGTTACATTTTAATGAACTTATTTCATTTATCGTCACATATGTAGATATATTTAGAGTTTTAACTTGACATGGGTAATTTAGTAATGAACCAATCTTATCTTATTACCCGTATTTTTGTTCCATCTATTTTGACGGTTTTTATCTTCACTCTGGTCATGTCCTATCTTAGCCGATTGTCGTGTCAAGCGTGAGACAACAAATTTCTATATTGTCCTGTTTTGTCCTCTCACCAAATTTATGGATCAAAATCAACATTTACTGATTTAATTATTAATATTTAATAATAAAAAAAAAGAACTTTGCCCAAACATATATTCCATCTCATGACATAACCCAAATAAAATATATATAGAAGTTGGTTATTATATAACCCTTGACATTTATGCAACCAATACAACCCAATCTCAACCGTCCATTTCATTTGATTAATATGTGATTTCATAGAAGTTTTGATTGTTTCCTAATATAAAGTATTGATCATAATTAATGAACCGTATACATCTTCCATAAATATTCAAATCATAATAAATGAACTCTCATCATTTTCATAAATATCTCAATTTATTGGGTTGCATTGGTTGTACAAATGCGACGGATTGTATTTGAAACAAACTCAATATATATATATATATATATATATATATATATAGAGAGAGAGAGAGAGAGAGAGAGAGATGAGCGTTCAAATAAAAACCACCCAATTTGTACAAACCGTGAAAACCACATTCAACCAATTATAATTTTTCATTTTGTTAATTTTTTTGTAATTATGAAAAGTTGATTAACCATTTTTATTGTGAAAAGTGTTAATCATGAATATTATCGTCTTCATTATTTTAATTTTAGAGAAATATATAAAACAGTTTCACTAAAATTTCATAACCATATATGAAAAAAATTCATCAAAAAAAGTATTATATGAAACAATTTCACAAGATTAACAATTTCATAAAAAAAATTCATAAGATTAAACAATGAAATCGACGTATGAGGGTGATTTGTATAAATGAGGGTGATTTTCATTTGATCGCTCCTATATATATATATATGTAAGTATATGTATGTATATGTATGTATGTATGTATATGTAAGTATATGTATGTATGTATGTATGTATGTATGTATGTACGTACGATGGTTTTGGATGATGTCTTTCAAGTTGTATTAGTTTAAATCAAAAACAACCTTAATAACATTAGGCTTTGTACATGTAACTACACAAAACTACTTTTATTACATATGCACAAAACTACACAAAACATGCTCATTTGCCACATTAAAACCACTTCTGTTTACCTTATATTTACAATCATTCAAGCGGTTGCTATTCCTTGTATCTCCAATGTCTCCAGAATTTTGGGCCTTTTGTAATTCTTCAGTAACAGCGAGCAACAAACGACGCTCACTGACGAGGCGGCCATGGCAGCTCCGGCAACCCATGGTGGCAGCCGGAATCCAGTGAATGGGAAAAGAATGCCAGCAGCAATTGGAATGCCTAGAAGGTTGTAACCCAAAGCCCAAATGTAGTTCAGACGGATTCGGGTGAATGTTTTTCTTGATAGATCAATGGCTGTGATCACATCTTCTAGATTGCTTTTCATCAGGACTATATCGGCTGCTTCGATGGCTATGTCTGTGCCAGCACCTATAGCCATTCCAACATCTGCAGCGACTAGTGCTGGTGAGTCGTTGATCCCGTCTCCTACCATTGCCACTACAAGCCCTGATGCCTGAATCATTTACAGAGTTTGGTTCAACTATTCATGTTTAAGACTCTAGAAAAGCATAAACTAACACAATACTACATCTGTTCCAGAAAGATATACAGATTTGACTTTTTAAGTTGGACTACTTTTCAGCTTCAAGAAATGGATTCTTTAGTTTTTCGATTAAAAAAGGATTCACTAGAACAATGTCACCTTTATAGGATGTCAAATATGTAAGCATAGACTGCATTATTCGACTTCAGTTTACATGACCAAATAATCGTTCGTAAAAATGTTACAATAAGTTGATAGGACGTTTTTAGCATCCTAACAAGTTTCTTAGGACACTTTTGAAATTAAGTGTTCCGTTAGCTTTTCTACATGACACTATGAAAAGCGTCATATTAACACATCTTAATATGACACATTTTCAAATAATGTCATTTAAAAATACTAATACGATGCTTTATTTGAAAAGTGTCCTAAAAGAACTTGTTACGTTGTCCAAACTATTCTATCAACTTGTTTGGTCCTTAAACATAAAGTCATAAAACAGCCTATAGGATATTTAGACATATTTGACGTTCTAAAAAGCCAATTTTATTGTAGTGATTGCCAATTTAGAATTCAAATCGAACACTGCAACCAGAAAAGCATTGATCTTCAAAGCAGAAATTCACCTAGTTTTGGAATTGCAATATGCTCAAAAGCGCATTGGAAATTATACCTGTAGTTCCTTCACTTTCTCTGCTTTGTGCTCCGGTTTGGCTTCGGCAATGACATCATCAATTCCAACTTCCTTTGCAATGGAGTTTGCAGTTCCCCAATTGTCTCCGGTAACCACTATACTTTTGACTTTCATGGACTTGAGTATAGAGACGACTTCACGAGCACCGGGCTTTAATGGATCAGATATGGCAAGAACTCCAGTCAGTTTCCCATCTATAGACACAAGAATTCCAGTCCGGGCCAACCCTTCGATTTCTGTAAGCATTTCTTCAGCATCAATGGAGATATCAATTTTTTTCTTTAACATCAAGCTCTTGTTTCCCACGATTATTTCTTTGTTCTGAACAATGGCCTTCACACCATGGCCGGTTATGGATTCAAAGTTTTGTGCTTCTGCCCAAACAGGGTTCTCTTCGTCTCTAAATTTCTTGGCATATTCTACAATAGCCTTGGCTAAAGGATGTTCACTGTTCACCTACAACAAAAATATCAGGATGACCATGTAACATAATCTTTGGACTACGAAGGATATTCGCTTCTGTTAGGATATATGGAAACCCTTTGAATCTCAATATAAAAGAGCTCTTATAAAGAGAGGGAAAGTCCCAACATATATACAAGTTTTGATGATCGTGTCTAGCAATATGGGACTCGAACAGTTCTAGACTCAGAAAAATGCTACCATATAAGAACTAAGGGGTTCATCTCCTAGAAAATATATTAAACAAAAAGACAAATGCTATATGGACCATACATTATAAATGCCAAAAATATGGCAGATAATAACTAAATTGCCTTCATTACACAAAGGTGTACCTCAGCTGCAGCAATCAATCCATAGAATTCCCTGAGGACCATATTCTTCAAGAGTCTCGTGTTAACAACCAATGGCTTGCCGATTGTAAGAGTCCCAGTCTTATCAAAGACGATGCAATTCACCTGCATAATTTAGTCCAACACAATCAGACAAACTTTGAGGTTTCCTAGGTGCATTTGGTTGGTGGGAAGGGACAGACAGTACAAAAATTAGTTGTCCCACTTTTGGCACAACATTAGACTGGTACAGGACCTCAGCAGAACAAAAATGCATTTTTTTTTCTGTCACACAAACTGGTTTTCCTCCCTTTCTCTCTGTTTTGACAGTTGGAAATCAAGGATATTGGAAAATAAAATGAATAATTGACCTTATGTGCACTTTCTAGTGCTTGGCCTCCTTTTATAAGAACGCCTTGAGAAGCCCCAACTCCGGTACCAACCATTACAGCTGTTGGAGTTGCCAAGCCTAACACACACGGGCATGCTATGACCATAACAGAGATTCCAAACTGGAGAGCAAGCTGAAAGCTATCCATGGAAGAAGGTATCCAAGACTTCGGGTAGCCATCAAACTTTCCAGCAACAAACCAGGCAAGCCAAGTGGAAAGGGAAAGAGCGATAACCTGCAGTAAATACCCAATAAAGACACATACCATCAGTATATCAGTTGGGAATCTCTCACCTTTTGCATGGGTCCTTTGGTTAAATGACCTTCTGACAAGGTTTTTTAAATCCATAACTTTGAGAATGCCACTACCAAAAACAAGAATGCCTAAAAACATATTAGAAGGTTATGAATTTAAAAGATCACTTGTTAGGAGGTCATTTAGCTAAATACCCCCTTTGCATGTGACATGGAAATATAGAATCATAAACCAACCAGTGGCACAAAGAATTTGGAGATGCGATCAGCCAATTTCTGAACTGGAGCTTTAGCCATCTGTGCAGATTCAACAAGTTGAACTATTTGTGAAAGAGCACTTTCTGATCCCAAACGTGTCGCCTTAATGTGCAAAACCCCATTCTCGTTCACCGTTCCCCCAATCACAGGGTCACCCTTCCTCTTGGCCACTGGTCGAGCTTCTCCAGTGATCATGCTCTCATTTACATGGCTTTGTCCCCAAGTAACAAAACCATCCGAAGCTACCTTAGCACCAGGAATGATTTTTATCACATCGTTCCTTTGAATCAACCTACTATCTATCTCTTCTTCATTTATAACATTCCCTTCACTATCAAAACTCAGAAGTGTTGCTGTATCGGGAGTCAAGTCCATAAGCTTCGCAATAGCCTCAGATGTCTTTCCCTTTGCCATAACCTCTAAATACTTCCCAAGAAGAATAAATGAAATGAGCATTGCACTTGTCTCAAAGAAGTCAGTAGCCTCAAAATGTGGTGAAGCAGCAGCTCTTAACACAGAGTAAACTGAATAGAAGTAGGCTGCATTTGTTCCTAAGGCAATCAGAACATCCATATTTGCAGAACCATGGCGCAATGATTTGTAGGAACCAGTGTAGAACCTACGGCCAATAAAAAACTGAACTGGAGTAGATAATATCCATCTTACAAGATGGCCTACAGTCATCATATTGACGATCTTGGAATCCAGAATGTGTTTGAGTCCAGGTATATACATAAACACCATGGAGGTTAAGAACACTGGAACGGTGAAAACCAAACTCCACATAAAAGATCTGTAATACTGCTCGATTTCTTCTTGTCTATGAGAATCTCTCCCTCCTCCTTTAGGAAATATCTTGGCCTTGAACCGCCCGGATCCGGTTGATTCGATCACTTGAATGAAATTTCTAGGGCCTGTCAAATCTGCTTTGTAAGAAAGGGAACACTTTCTGAGGTTCGTATCGATTTCAATTTTTTCAACCCCAGGAAGTGCTTGAAGAGATTTCTCAATCATCCTCATGGAACCATCAGTCCATGGTCCATCAATTTGTAAGTGTATTTTGCTCCTGTCTTCCCCTGTGCTGATCAATATGGCTTCAAATCCAGTGTTTTCTATGGTCTCCAAGAGCTGGCCATGGCTCACAATCATAGGATCGTAGAGGACTTCGGCTTCTTCAGTTGCTAATGCAACTTGGGCTCTGTGTACTCCATGTACAGCCCTCAAAGCAGACTCCACCGTACTAGAACAAGAAGTGCAAGTCATTCCTTTGATGAGCATTCGACATATTTGAGTAGACTTTTCATTTGTCTCCTCCATAATGAGTGTAGCCTCAAACCCAACATCTTCAATGGTTTCACGAATAGTCTCCTCCTACAAACAACAATATGAAAAAAGACCATAAAGCTTTGGTGCAATGATGAATCAACCAGCAAATAAAGGCTAGTCCTTGGGATCCTCCCTATAGGACTCTAGTCCGAGTCTCCACAGGGCCCAGGGGATTTTCTCCGGCTGTTGCCCTCAGGGCCCAATGGATTAGTCAAGGTGTGCAGGCTGGCCCGGACACCCAGGGTACCAAAAAATCATGAATCAACGATTTGAAGCGAAAGGACTTACAAATCTCATCCCATATTTACTACAAGTTCATAAAAATGTACTACTTATTAGATTGACATCTTGTACTTGATGTTCTAGCTTGTATCCCCTTCTTCAAATCCATACAATTAAATCCAAATTGTAACTTTTACCAAGAGCATGACTTATTTTCTAAACTATTCATTCAGAAACAGAGAAATTGTACAGAAAGATCAACAGCATCAAGGAGTGTCTGATTCTAACGATTGACTGATAAACATATATGTATTTTTGCTTGAATACTTCACAATTTTGGTGGAACGTCTCAAATGAAATTGTGCAATTTTCATGAGAGTATGAGCTAAATTTTGTCACTATTATAATCCCAACGCACAACTACAAAAGAATAACAATTGCTTACTAGTATTTCACAACAATAAAAGGTAATTCCAACAATCTGAAACAGATATACAAATTAGCAGGAAAACTAACTATTATTCTCAGATGTTCAGTAATCAAATCTGAGAAAAATGGTAGGAAGCGATTACTGTGCGGAATTCACGTAGCTCATGCAGATCAGGCAGTTCAACTGATTTTTTCACTACAATCTATTACCAGGAAACGATGAAACTTACATCGACGTAGCTAGGATAAAACATGACCTGAGCTCGATTGTTCAACACGTCCACAACAGCCTCTTTGATTCCCGGCAACCGCTTCACCGCCTTCTCCACCGATCCGGCACAAGCCGAACAAGTCATTCCGGTGACCGACAAGAGAACCCTAGATTCCAGTCTTTCCATATTACCCTCCACATCAGATTCAGACGACACCCCCTTTGGGTACTTGGGCATAGACGGATAGTGTGGCCTCGGTGACAACCCTCGGGAGTAGCCGTCACCGGCACCGGTTCCACGTATGCACGTCAATGATAGAAACTTGGTAGCCATTTCAGCTTAATCTTTACTCGAATTCGAAATTTTTGGTTCAATTCCTTTGGTGTAAAGCAGATGGATTTATAAAAGGTTTGAACTGTGACGGTGATTGCGTATGCACTGATCCATGTGAACTCCGATTCCCACCCGTTTTTTCGCGGGTTTTCATATGAATTTGACTTTTCCTTTTATTTATTTATTTCCTAATTACGTATTTTGATTTGTTTTACCCTCCAAGATTGATTTTCTAATAAGGAAAATGAAATGTCATCCATTAAAAAAAACAGCGTAAGGGATCGTTTACGTAAATGATTATTCGGATAAGAGTCGTCATTTTCACTTACCAGATCAGACTCTCCATTCTTATCAGTAAGATTATTAACTCTTGTCATGTTCATCCGGTAATAAAATTTACGGGTAAGCGTGTAAAAGGTTTTGATTTTTGTAAAATTAAGATTTTCATCTTTATAATTAATTTATTGTTATTTTTTCTATAATTTATAATATATTGTTGTTTTGGTCCATATGATTTATATATATATATATATATATATATATATTTTTGGTCCATTATACATGTTACGTTGAATAAATTAAATAACAATTTATTTTATATTTGTCACATTTTTAAATAATTTATGCGGAATAAACTGTATTTATAATTTCTTTGACTTTTAGATGCTAAATTACCAAATAATAAGATGCAAAAGTGACATCGGTTGGAGAAATGATGTAATTTTAAATAATTAAAAATTCCAATAAAGTGATTAATTAATGGAAGTTGTTGGTGATATATATTTAGATAGTGGACCATATAGCTTTACTTGGACGAAAATATTGCCTTACACGGTTTGAAAAGACAATTGTACCCTTTTCAGGTGGTGGTAACAAATGTATTATTTTATATACTGTTATATGGTTTCGAGATATATCGTACGTTTGTACACTCTTATGTAATGTTTTATGCACTTATTTACCGTTTTCATATCGTTAATATCTTATCATTTTGTTATAAGTTGTAGTAATTGCACAACATATCATTAATGGCTTTCTGGTGCTTGTACCATATTACAAACAATTTCAAACCATATCGTTACTTTTTCTTTTATCATATTATACTTTTTAAACTGAAAATAGATTACAGACAAAACGATAAAATCAATGGTCGGTGGTGCTAGTGATAATAGTCAGTAGAGGTTGGTGACGGTGGTGGTTTTTACCCTTTTGGTTCATTTAATGTAGTCTTGACGATTGTTACTCATTTTAGTTATAGATTTATTATTCTATACTATTGTTTATGAAATTATTATTGTAATCAATAACTTCTAAAAGTAAAAGTGCTCCAAGGGAAATCTATCATGCTGACAACTAATGAAACTTAAATAATTTAACGACTCTCATAACTAAAATTACTAAAACAATACTGAAATAAACTTGTTATTTGTTAAAGTTGAACTGATAAATTAAGTCATGACTTGAACAATTCTATCACGGCATTGTTTTAAATCTCATACTTACACATTATTAACAATTTTTTAAAGATCGTTTTTTTTATTAACCTGGATATCCAACCGCTATGTGAGCCGACTAATACCAGGATGACTATCTGCTTTACGAATAGCTCGGAGTCACCGCATTTGAACCTCCGTGCCACAAGTGGATTTTTATTTCTTCTTGAATTTGAACCTGGGACCTGCAGATACTTTTGACTTTTGGAGTAAATCTCAAATCAATCAGACACCACCCTTGTTATTATAGAAAGAAAGGTAAGTTCTTACATATCATTTGATATATTACTAAAAAAATGTCAATAAACAAATCAATAAATTTTAAACTATAATTTGAGCGAATAATTGAGTACTGATAAACTCAACCGGTCCTACACGACATCCAGTCTTCAAGGAATCCAACAACTTTTCAAGCAGATGTCTTTTTATCTCTTGAACCAACTGAGTTACATTTAATATCACTTATCGTATATTCTGAAAATATTATACATATAAAAGAATTCCCAAGATTTTGAGGAAAAATTTGTTATGTTATGTTATTTATTTATTTTAATACTCTACTACGACCCACCAAAATCAAATTTTTTTTTTTTTTTTGATTTTTAACATTTTATAGGTGGAAATGGAATACGTGGTACTTTATAACCAGATTAGAGTCCTAGTTGAACAAGTAAGCCCAATTAGAGGCCAAGACCAACAAGTAAGCCCAAATTAGAGTCCTAGTTGAACAAGTAAGCCCAATTAGAGGCCAAGACCAACAAGTAAGCCCAAATTAGAGGCCAAGTCCAACAACCCAACCTAGATTCTAGCCAAAAATCGATGTTGGACTGGGCCGAACCCAAATTGGTCTCGGTCCTTGATTTCCATTTTATAACCTGTTAGGCTGTTACGGTCTCGGTCCTGGTCCCGGTTCCGACTAAAAACCCATGGTCCGGTCTCCATATTTTGTAACCGGTCCTAGGACGGGTCCAAACCAGTCATAGTTCTTTATTCCGAAAATATCAATTTTAAACATAAAAAACATATTTGAATTTTTTTTGGACAATATCTTATTGAAATACATTAGGGAGCGTTTAGTTCGTCAGGATCCGTTGGAATCTGGTGGAATTGGAATAGTCAATTCTGGTTGACCAAATTTCATTCCAACGTTTGGTTACCCATGGAATGGAATTGAATTCCAAACATTATCTCATTTGAGGATTTCATCATTTCTTTCTTAAACTGATGGAATTGAATCCATTTCATCCAAAAATGTGAAAATGACAAAAATACCCTCATGATGCTTCCAGTTTCATCATCGATCGATTATTGCTTAGCTTCCAATTTCTGCTTATGATGCTCGCCTTCCAAACTCTCGATTCAAAATCAAACACCAAAATCAAACCTAATGTAAACGCAAACCCCAAAATCAAACCCAAATTAAGCACTATTTATATTCTGGACCAAAACCCATCTTCAAAATCCAAGCTTTTGTTACAACAATGGTGAACCCAGAACATTGACGAAAAAGGGGTTCAGGTTGTGCAGGTTTCGGATTTGGTCATAGAACAACAAAGAGTGAGACGAGACGAGGAGGCGAGCAGTAGACCTGAATCAAGAAACCCAACGAGTAGCATATGTGAATCGAGAGACAATGAAGGATAATCCTGTAATGTGGCGGAAAATGATACAGTGAAGACCTGGAAGATAAACGATTACAGGCACACTCCTGTCACGAATGCCATAGAACTTTGCAAAGGAGAATGTCTTTCGTTGTTCCATCTGCTTGAAGTTTGTTCAATAGACTGAAATTTGGTTGTTAGGGCTGAAATAATTCAAATGCGATTAAGGGGGTGAAAAGGGAGACCAAAAATCGAGGACCAAACCTTATTCGGCCCGCATGGGTTCTATTTTCCTGACCAACACATGGCATAATATCAAAGAAAGAGTATTTTTGTTTTTTTTCATCATTCCATTTTAATTCTGTTGCAAACCAAACAAACAGATTCCAATTAATTAGACAAATTACATTCGGTTCTTGCCAACCAAACACTTAATCAAACCTGATAATATTTCATTCCAATTTCTTTTACAAATTTCATTAATTCATAAATCAATATGCGAACCAAACACCCCTTTAGAGTTGGACATGTGTGGATTGGTGCAAGAGTTGTCGGTTACAACCTCTTTTGCACAAACATTAAAGTATATTTTGTATGATTTTAAACCATTTAATCATTAAAAATAATAATATATAAGTAAATTATCATATATGGTCTACGTAAACGATGAAAAAGTAAGTTGGTAGTTGATGCATTTACCCTTGTTTTGTGACGCAAAATTCTAGACATTTGAGTTATAATTCAAGTTAGATTATTTCATAAGGAAAAACATAAAAAAAACCCAATAAATTTTAGTGTTTAAAATAAATAAGTTGTTGGATAATTTTTTGGAACAAATAAGTATTTGGACATTTCAAAACGTGTTAAATAACTTTTTGGATTTTCTAAAACCTGTTAGATACATTCTTATGACCTATACAACTGGTTAATGTGGTAAAATATTGGAAAAAGTTGAAAAAAAAACGAATAAACTTTCATATTTTGAACGATCAAGTCTCTAAATATTTTTTTAAACAAAAAAAGTACTTACATCTATAAAATGAAATAAATATATATAAAAAAGTACTTATTTTTACAAAAAAAGTACTTACATTTAAAGAAGATTATCAATAAAATTTATTTTAATTAAAAATAAAATATATTATGTCAGTAATTTTTTAAATTAAAAAATAAAAAAAATTAAAAAGAATTACTGATTAAATTTATTTTATATTAATTAAAAATAAGAAATATTTCGTATGTGATTTTTTTATTTAGAAAAAAAAAAAAGATTTAGAATATTTGACGGTAATCAAATTAGCCATCACCAACATATTATATTTTATTTTTTTCTTAAAATAAATTTATCTTTTTTAATTTGAGAAATCATATGGATTATATTTTATTTTTAATTAAAATAAATTTAATTAGTAATCTTTTTTAATTTATAATTTAATTTGGAAAATAACTGACAAAATATTTTTTATTTTTAATTAAAATAAATTTAATTAGTAATCTTTTTTAATTTATAATTTAATTTGGAAAATAACTGACAAAATATTTTTTATTTTTAATTAAAATAAATTTCATCAATAATCTTTTTTTAAATGTAAGTACTTTTTTGGTATATTTATTTCATTTTATAAATGTAAGTATTCTTTTAGTTCAAAAAATGTTTAGATACTTAATCGTTCAAAATATGAAAGTCCATTGATTTTTTTTTCATATTTTTTCCATTATTTTATCACATCAACCAGTTTTATAGATAGCAAAAATGTATCTAACAGATTTTAGAAAGTCCAATGAGTTATTTTAGAATATCCAAAAACTTATTTGTTTCAAAAAATTATCCAATAACTTAATAATTTTGAACACTAAAATCCATTAGGTTTTTTAGACTTTTTCCATAATTATACTATCACTTTGTTTTGATATTTGAATGTTGATACTATTATCTTCGTTTTGATATTTCAAATCACTCGGACTAGAAACTCCCCGTAGAAGTAGAATATCATCCAGCATGTTAAATCTGGATTTGCAATTGCATGTATTTGATCATTGATTGTTGTTTGCTACTTTATTTACACTTGTGGGCCAATGTTCTCGATTATTAAGCTCAAATCTTGTTATTATGGTTAGATGTTGACATATTTGAGTTTAACAGTCAAATCTCCAACAGCTTGCAATTGCATTTGATGTTTATCTACTTTTTATGTTTTCAGACACACTACACATACTTAGCACACCAACCAGATAGCAGCAGTCACTCAACAGTCAACAGTCAACACCAAACCAAATCCAAAAAACAAACATATTTTCCAACAACAAACTTAACACCACCCATCTCACCCAAAACATATTTTCAGGCTACGCTTCCTCCTCGTACCCTTCTTCCTCTTCCTCGTACTCTCCTTCCTCATCCGCAGTTGCATCTTGATACTGTTGATACTCGGAAACCAGATCGTTCATGTTGCTTTCCGCTTCCGTGAATTCCATCTCGTCCATTCCTTCACCTGTGTACCAATGCAAGAAAGCCTTCCTTCTAAACATTGCCGTAAACTGCTCGCTCACCCTTCTAAACATCTCCTGGATCGATGTCGAATTCCCTATGAAAGTTGAAGCCATCTTCAGCCCCGTTGGAGGGATGTCACAAACCGTTGACTTCACGTTGTTAGGGATCCACTCAACAAAGTACGACGAGTTCTTGTTTTGTACGTTGATCATCTGCTCGTCCACCTCCTTTGTGCTCATCTTACCACGGAACATTGCCGAGGCTGTCAGGTATCGCCCGTGTCGGGGATCGGCGGCACACATCATGTTCTTGGCATCCCACATTTGCTGGGTGAGCTCAGGTACAGTCAGGGCGCGGTATTGCTGGGACCCACGAGATGTGAGGGGTGCAAACCCAACCATGAAGAAGTGGAGTCGAGGGAAAGGAATTAAGTTCACTGCAAGCTTGCGGAGGTCCGAGTTTAGCTGCCCTGGGAAGCGGAGACAGCAAGTGACACCACTCATAGTGGCCGAGATCAAGTGGTTCAAATCTCCAACTGCCGAAAACACCAATTTATAAATCATATGACACTCTCGTTGTCAAAGCATTTATCAAATAATACAAGAGTCGAAAATCAAAAGGCCTTTTAGGCCATGTTGTGAATCCACAAAGAGGTTTCTGGTATCTAGCAAGAACAAAAACATATGCAAGAAAACCTTTAAACTAGTTAACGTTGCATTTGATATATGTGGGCGGGACTGGATCGGATAGAAATGAACGGCTGAGAGTGAGGTAAAAGAATTGTAAATGATTTTAGGGTTTTAATTTAAAATGGGGAGTTCAATAATTTACCAATTTTGCCAAGAAATGCATTTGTCTTGCTTAGGTCCTGTGCGTCCTAAACCACTCTAGTGTCACAAAAAACATGTGATAACAAGTTTTTATATTGTTCTATTCTACCTAACAAATACACTCTAAAATATCTTATAAAACAAAAATGAAAAAACTTACCAATCACAATTAATGTTATTAATTGATTGTTAACAATGGACAGATTTTTAATGTGAGATGGATATCTTTTATGTATATTTTTAAGAAAACCTAAGATATAAATTATCGTCACATATTTAAGATGGAAAAGTTTTTTTTTTCTTTTTGATTTTCGTGTAAGCTGGCCTAGTAATATCAACCAACCAAGCAACCACGTGAAAAGCTGAATTTTGCCAACTCTTTTATGCCCTCGAAAGATAAGAAAAGAGAATCTTTGCTTAGGCTGGGAATCACATGATGGGTTTGCTACCCACATGACTTGAAGACTACAATAACTAATGCTTTGACTCAGTACATTACAACTAGAAATCTGTTGTAACCCAGAAACCTATTCCAACTGCATTGTTAACTTAAACCATACAAGTAGACAGTGCAGGATAGTACAGTACAACTTTAAGCGACTACCCCCCACTTTCCACTGATACCATATGGATTGTAATAATAGTTCCAAGTGTGGCAACTAACAAAAATTAATCAGGAAACAGTGAGCTTATTAGATGCCTAATAAATATGGTTGTTTTGAAACATCAAGGAACTTGTACGCTTTAATTAATCGAGGTCATAAAGATTACAGACAGAAAAATCAGAGTGACCCTTGGTCCAACTTTAATGGGGACACCAAGACCAAATTTGACACCATGTCACTCCAATTGCGACACCGGAATATACCTAGAATCTTACACTTTGGTGTAAGATTTGGTGTTACCCATTAGAGTATATTTATTGTTTCTACCAAATTTTACATCAATTTTTATAGATTTGGTGTTACCATTGGAGATGCCCCAAGGAGACTCAAACTAACAAGCTTTTGAAACTCGTACACTTGGTTAGTAAGGCATCATGAACTCACATCATTGTTTTTTTTTTCTCTTTTGGAAATTGTTTAATCTTTGGGGACTACGTGGATGGAGGAGATGGACTTACAGCTGGGAGTAGTGAGCTTGAGCGTACGGAAGCAGATATCATAGAGAGCCTCATTGTCCAGAACCATGCATTCATCTGCGTTCTCAACCAGTTGATGGACGGATAAAGTTGCATTGTAGGGTTCGACCACCGTGTCGGACACCTTGGGCGATGGGAAAACCGAGAAAGTGAGCATCATACGGTCTGGATACTCCTCCCTTATCTTGGATATCAGCAAAGTCCCCATCCCGGACCCTGTCCCTCCTCCCAAAGAATGGCATACCTGAAACCCTATTACCCAAATACAAACAACATATGATTTAACAGTCAGTTCAGGCACTAGGGTACTCAAGATTATGTCTTCTTTTTATTTTCTATAAGGGTAACAACATCTATATTTAAAAAGAACTCACAAGTAACAACCTAAAGTTAATAGTTGATTATTTTCGCTAAACAACACAACGGGAAAATCAAGATATGATTTGGACCTGACACACCACAGGAAAATTCAATTCCGAAACCAAGTCCGTTTCAACATTGTAATTACGATATCCTGTGGTTATAAAGCAAAATTTATTACTACAGTAGATATACTTTTTTATTTACCGTAAATATACTTAAAACTTGAAGCTGAAAATTGAGAACAACAATGGCAATCTTTTGTTCCAATACACGTTTGTTTGGTGAGAAGTGAACTGGAATCTAATCATGGAATGAGTACCATTGCTACTCTCTCTCTCTCTCCCCCTTCCTCTCTTCACACACACACACATGTGTGTGTGTGTTTTATGTAAGCCAGAATTCAATCATACTATGGAGTGAGTAACACTTCTAGCTATACCAACCTCAGAATTATACCACTTCTGTTTTCATTAATAAGAAGTTCTTGACGATATTGAAATTCGAAGCGTTTTGAAAAACGAAAATGCAAGATCGATGGGAGAAATAACCGCAAATGTCCAATAGAAAACTGAAATTAGAGAAGCGCAAATCAACAGAGTAAACATAAATATTTAGGCTGATCTATAAACGCATATAAAAAAACGTAGATCTACTTAAAGAACCCTAATTTTCCACATAGTAAATATCGTTGCAACACTAAAATGAAAATGCTAATTTTGTTTCAACATCAAATCGTGCATCCTTAAATCAAGTCAAAAGCTAATAATATCCGTTCGAATCAGGGGGCATTCAATAGCGAGTACATGAATCTTATAAAAAACATTCACTAATTAAAGTGAATTGCACATTTGAGAGAGAGAGATAGGGAGAGAGAATTATAACCTTGAAGGCAATCGCAATTTTCGGCTTCCTTGCGAACAACATCAAGAACAGAATCAATAAGTTCAGCTCCTTCAGTATAATGACCTTTCGCCCAATTATTTCCGGCACCAGATTGTCCAAATACGAAGTTATCAGGGCGGAAGATCTGACCGTAGGGTCCAGATCGGACGCTGTCCATGGTACCTGGTTCAAGGTCCATAAGGATGGCGCGTGGAACAAACCTTCCACAACTGGCTTCGTTGTAATACACATTAACGCGCTCAAGCTGGAGGTCTTGGTCGCCGTTGTAACGGCCGGTGGAATCGATGCCGTGCTCAGCACAGACGACTTCCCAGAATTTGGCTCCGATCTGGTTGCCGCATTGACCGCCCTGAATATGGAGGATTTCTCTCATGATGTTGGTTGAAGATTTTAGACAGAGAAAGCGAGAGTATCTGTGTGTTTTCAGGAGAACTGGAAGGAGGTTTATATACACCAAGAGGCGGTATATTGGTTTTTAAGAGGGAAATCTCAAGTTTCTCTTTTCTTTTTGGAATCGCACGTGACATGCTTCAAACGAAACCTGGTTCGGTTATAATCACCGAAACGGTTTTTTAAACAAATACTCAATAAAAAATATATTAAATATAAATATTATAACTGTTTGATAATTAACTGTAAACATCTTTACATAAATTTTATATTTTGACCCGTATTTTTTGGAATTAAATCTTGCAATTTTATCAAGTGAAATCATAAATGTAATAAAAAAAATACCCAGTCTTATATATCGTGTGAAAATATGAATTAAGATAAAAAATGTGAGAAAATATCTAAATCTTGATCAATTTTAATCTCATCCTCACTCCCATGAACTGTGGTTCTCATGGGAATTGATTCGGTGCATTTTGTAAGGGTTTGATCTTCAATTAGGATCGATTAAAAAGTGAAAATCTTACTATTCTCACTCTTAACATTCATTTTTAGTGCAACTTAACCGTTCTTAGATCAATCTATATAGAGGGAAGTCGTTTTATTTTCAAACTCAACCATTAGTACAAGTCAATTTTAACCATTCATCTGATTTAATGAATATCTTGATTGTTTCCTAATATAAAGTGTTTGATCATAATAAATGAACGCTGACAATTTTTCGTAATTGGTTTGTATGAACTTTCATTATTTTTTATAAACATCTCAGTTAATTGGTTTGTATGACTTGCACTAATGGTTGGATTTGTAAAAAATCTCTCGTACATATATATTATATGGTGGGGTTCAAACGAGAACATTGATATATTACAAAAATACGAGAACACTTCTGAGCTTCCAAATTTATTAACCTAAATAAAATTACAATAGATGAAAATAAATTAGTATTTATAAACAATTTTTCTGCTATCTTAGGTTTTTCTTTATACCATGAATGTTGTTAGTATCATTGAAGACTTTTTATGCCAATGTCTGCATTGTTAATGCTGATGTGATAATGCTTTGATAAATCGAATATTTTTTTTGATATGATTTTGTTGTGATAGTGATGTGATAACTTGTGATAAATTGAATCATTGATGATCAAGTCCATAGTCATTGGCTTTGTCTGTTCATTATTCGACTTGTAGTTTTTCCCCATTTTACTCCTCCATGCCTTTGGTCTTCCTAGAAAATGTAAATATTTATCTAATATTTTATAGCTCCTTCAGTCTTTCTAAAAATGTGGCTTAAAACATAATGATATACTTACGACTGTTCTTGCATTCGCATAAATCACAAGTGTTCTCGTTTGAACAATTCCCAATTATATGTATATAAAAATTTGATTCATCTAAAATAATACTGCCATCTTTATATCTACCGATGTAAACTTTACTTATTGATAGGTTCTCGGATTGCTTAATTATGACTTTAACCGTTTGAGAAATCAATGTCATAAATATCTTCAATGCTCTTCGTTGGACCTAAAGCAAGTGACATGCAACTCTCAGTTGATCGCTCTTATACATATGGAGCACAAAGCAAGTGACATGACAACTCTCAGCTGATCAGTTTTGTACACACACACACACACACATATATATATATATATATATATTATATATATATATATATATCTTATCAAAGGTAAAAGTGTTATTTAGATAATTAAAAAAGATCGTAATTACATATCTTGAAACCATGTCATTTTTATTATGAACATTCATTTTAGAGCATACATACACAAACATAAGGGACCTTCTTTTGAGAACCCATGAATTGAGATAACTTTGAGAACTGATGCATCGTGTACTATTTCATGTACTTTTTTTTCATCTATGACTTAGATTTAGTGTATTGACTAACATATATTTGTTTCACACATATTCGTTTCACAACCTGAACACTTTTTATGTGTTTGTAAAACAAAAAATACAACTAAAAATTTTCACATTATGAACTGAATACATATGAAACAAATATATGTCAATCAATATATTAAATCCAAGCCATGGATGAAAAAAGATCATGTGAAATTGTACATGATGCACCAATTTTCAAGGTTAACAAAAATTTATTGGGTTCTCAAATAGTTAACCCCCCACATAATACACACACACACACACACACATATATATATATATATATATATATATATATGAATCTAATCAAATGAGAACTGAGTAGTTTATGATAATTATGAAATCTAACCTAAGACAATCTATTATTGATATTCATTCTTTTATTTGTTTAACTAATAAGAGGTGTATTAGTAATTTTAGTAACTTTATTTCAAATTCAATTTTATTTATTTATTTTAACAGTTATTTTTTATTAAATAGTTTCATTAAATGTCTCAACCAAATTGATTTGTATTGATTTCGATTCCCCATCTTCTCTCCCTTCACCTCAAAACATTCACATTCTTAAATTTTATAAACGTCTCCCAACCTTCGCGAGTTTTGGTTTTTGGGTTTTCCACCTGCTTTGAAGAAACTCCTCATTTACAGTGAAGGTGAGAGCTGCCTTCAAAGATGGAAAACCATGGAGCTCAAAAGTGTACCATCGTAAGTTTGTGTCTTGGTGTTTAGAAGTTCCTGGGTATCCCATTGGTATCATTTTGGGTATCAGAATGGTATCATATTGTGTAATACAATCAGTTTGTCTTTTCGTTTATAAGTTTTTGGGTATCATAGCGGTATACGCCGTAATAAGTTTGCCCAGAGTAAGGTTTGACAGAAAGAGGAGAGAAAGATTCATAAGAAAAACTGATTTATCCCTAAATATTATCTATAAACTTAATTTTTTTTTAAATGAATGAATAGTTACTAAAATTAATATTTTTAATAATAACCATTGATTATTAATAACATGTGGTTAAAATTATATCTCACGTACGGTTATCACAAACAACTGAGTTCAACTTTGAATTGGTGTATATATATATATATATATATATATATATATATATATATAGAGAGAGAGAGAGAGAGAGAGAGAGAGGTTTATGAGAAACCTCAAAAAAAATGAACAATCAAAAACACTCCTTTAATCGTTAGATTAATTGATCTAATGAATGCAAAAGAGACGGTTACAATTTTAATTTTAAATTAAAAAATGTTCCCACCCCCGATTTTTTAATTCGAAAAAATACGAAATATTATTAAAATTCGAACAAAACAAATTACACTACACAATTATATTTTTCTCGCTAATTTGACATCTATATCCATATACTTTTTCATCCATTTTTTTTCTTGGTTTTTAGTTTTTTTATTTATATAGCGTCTTCCTCTTAAGTTTGAATTTAGTTTTTCATTAATTTAATTAACATCTATAATCATATTTAGTTTTTCACACACATATATATATATATATATATATATATATAGCGCCTGTATGTATGTATATATGGATTGGGAAATAGAAAAAGGAAGATAAGGGGGTGTGGGGGAAAGTGGATGTGATGGAGGTATAGCTCATTACTCGTGTTAAGGCTGCACACACTTTTTTTGTAATGGTTAAGCTAAGGGGTTGGAGTACGAGACAAGTGAACTTCTATGTGACTGCAACTACACACATGGTATATATTTATAACATATCTCCTATAACTTGTTTACAGAAGACCATTGTAAAAGTGTTTGATTCACATGTGAATAGAAAATTTAATGGATTTAAGAAAATAAATATAATTTTAGATACATTTAGTTATAAATTACTTAAGTAACAAGTTATTAAATTAAGACGTTCGATAAAAAAATGATTTTGAAAAGCCAATGAAATAGATCAAGATGTGAATCTCCAATGCCTCGTGCGTTTTCTGCAACCACAACGTCTTATGGGTATCAACCTTTTTCTATAACAGATATAATCGGTTTATATTACTTCTACCTGATATTTAAAATTGTATAAAAATGTAAATGGGATATTATAAATAAAAAGCATGTTATTTTATTTATCTCATGTTGTGATAATAGTGGATAATATGATTTGAAGGTTATTGTAAAGGCAAGTAAGGCGGTGAGTATGCACCCACAAAAAAAAAAAGCCTTATTCATAAAACCAGCACCCTTCATCTCTAAGGAACACTCCTCACGATCTCATCTACAACTATGTATATTAATTAAAAAGAAACTAATAAAGATACAAAAAGCATATATATATATATATATATATATATATATAATATCAGGTAGAAACTTTTGTTTTTTTTACAGAATTGTAGGACTGTCTTGATTGTCCAGGAATGAGATCATGTGTTGGATTTACGGTTTCAATAGACGCGATGACATTTTTGTAATAAAGAATTAAAGATGAACTTCGATGACAACGATTAGGGTTGGACACAAAGTTTAACATATGTTACCCCCATGAAATACATTAACATACTTAGAATCTTTCTTAACATACATGAAATATTAACCTTAATTATATATATATATATATATATATTTGGGATCATGTGAGACCAACATGTTTTTGTGAGACCCATGACATCACTTTTTTACACTAACATTCATAGTGTTGTGCTGTGAAGATTCAACCTTTTTTTTTATCTTCATAGAGTTTTGCTGTAAAGTTTCAAATGTAAACAAGTAGTCTTACAGGTCTCACGAAAACATGTTAGTCTCATGTGAACCCAACCCTCTCTCTCTCTCTCTCTCTCTCTCTCTATATATATATATATATATATACACACACACACACACACACGAATGTATATAGAAGAGGTTTACTTTGCAAACCACGTAATTTGTACAAACCGTACAAACCTCATTCAACCAATCATAATTTTTCATTTTGTTCATTTTTTTGTAATTGTTAGAGGTCAATTAATCATTTTTATTCCGAAGAGTGTTAATCATGGATATTATCATCTTAATTATATTAGTTTTAGAGAAATACATGAAACAGATTCATTAAAATTCCATAAGTATTATATGAAACAATTTAATAACCATATATGAAACAACTTCATAAAAAAAAAATATTATATGAAACAATTTGATGAAAAAATTTCATAAGATTAAAAAATGAAATCGGCATATGAGGGTGGTTTACACTGTTTGTACAAATATGGGTGGTTTTTCTCTCTCTCTCTCTCTCTATCTATATATATATATATATATATATATATATATACTTGAGATCATGTGAGACCAAGGGTTTTTTGTGAGACCCGTAAGACCAATTCTCAATCCTTGGATTAGATCTACAATCTGAACATTCATAATCACAAAATTGCTACGAGACTTCTCAATAATCACAAAATTGCCACCGTGCAACTTTAGACCATTAGATCATTAGCTTATAAAGTTGATCAATGAACAATAAATTGGTCTTATGAGTCTCACGAAAAACCCTTGGTCTCACGTGAACCTAACCCTATATATATATATATAACAAACCATAATAACCCTCAAGATTCATGAATATAAGTTAGCATATCCTACAATTTAACATGTATTACCATGAAAACCTTTAACATATCTTAACTTGCAAAGTTGCAATCTTAATACATTAATGCAATTTTAAAACACCTTTAACTCTTATTAGCACACAATTAAACATGAAAAGCTTAATCATATATTCTTTATCACATAGTAACACAACTTAACACACTTTTAACACATGTTAACGAGTAACATTGATGCAGTGTTGAATGACTAAATTGCTCCTCCTTCATTTTCAATGGTGTGCACGTTGTCACACATATCAAGATTGACGATCACAGGATGGTCCTACGGTTCCTACGGATTTTGGAGTAAAACAACTTCTTGTTTTTTCCTCTTTGACTTGACCACTCTACTTGCTTAACATAAGTATTATTTAACCTTCACGGACTCGCTACAACAAACTCTACCTCAAAAGCAATAAGCAATGGATTGAGCTTTAAAAACTAGAAAGCCGTTGAGCGTTGGTGCATTTTTTTTCTCGCTCGTTACCACTTGTCCGGAGCCCAACTATATAATGCGACATCCACATAGTATAATGTTACATTCACATAATATATGTACCACTATATTATGTAAAGACGACTGAAAATGACCGTTTTTTTATAATTTATTCTAGATAATATGAACTTATTTAAATATTAAAATCCATGAACAATAAAAAAACATAGCAGAGAAACACGAAAAATATAAGCAAGAGATAGTTTATTTATGAATATGAACGATACATAATTGTGATTTGGAGTTCTCTTGAGAAACATGAAATCCACCTCAAGAGAACCCTAATGCATATTTATGGTATCATCCAAATGGATAAATTGCCCCATAAAATATTGGAATTTTTTTAAATTAAAAAAATTACAATGCTCTTGATTTGATGACGTCCAGACTCATCTCACTGGCGTCTGTTGCTTGGACTTCGACTTGGATCCCGTCTAGTTCTCTCTTGAACCTGTCCTTAGAGCTGGCATATATCATCTTACTTCTCACTTTTGATGAATCTGGAGACCTGCACTCATGAATACTTTCTTATAAGGACGTTTTGATCATTTAACAGTTTGATTATATATGTGGATTGGTGTTAGAAGTGAAATTGGGATCCATAAAATGTAATTTTGAAAACGAATAGGACCTTAAAATACGAAGATAAGGAACAACATAATTAAATGCCATGGCATATGTCGACAAAATGTTGTATTTTGGTTGTACAAGTTGTAATCCACAAGTACAATCAAAAGCACAACCATCGGACCGATTTACAAACCATTTGAATACGCTAACATGAATATGTAATGTTAGCGTATTCTTATGGTGGTCTAAACGAGATTTGTGTACTTGCCATGCAACAAAGAAAATTTTGCTTTTTTGACAGTTCTCGTTGGTGGTGAAATCGAAGTCATAGACGGCATAACGACATTCATTGGCTGGAAAGCTTTTTTGAAAATCTTCATAGGTGTCGTCTGGTTGGCCTAGCTTCTCCACGACAACTTGATGTGTACGGTTTTCAATCTTGAACACTATGAATCGGTAGTTTCTCTTAGCCTTCAATTCCAAGAACTTCAGCTTGCATGCATCATGCACAGCCATTCCAGATGCAGCGTTAGCCTTCACATTTTCAATAAACATTATTAACATACATGTTGCTTCTTATGGACTCATAGGCAATCAAGATCGTTCTAAATAAATTGATGACTCAAATAAAATCGTTATACTTTATTAAAACAAATGAAGAATTTCAGGTTTCTACTTCAATTAGATCATTATTGATATCCATATTTATTTTTGAAAAGACATTTTTCTCAAACATCATTATATATGATTACATGTACACACACACACACACACACACACATATATATATATATATATATATATACACGTATATGAGAAAGAGAGACATAAAATATTACCATGTCACCCCACCGTCGAGAACCGAAGAGAATATTGATCTTTATGAGTAAAAAGCTAGAAGAAGATGGAATGGTGGGGGCACGAAAGAATGAGTGGAGGGGCAAGGTATTTAAATACACAAATTGGTTTTCTAGATCCTTATTTAAAGGATCTAATCAAAGGTTTGTGGTTGATTTGTGAAAAGAATACCGATTAATGCTTGCAACCGATGAATATTGTTCGGTGTTTTTATTGTTTTTAAATAATCTTAAAAATAAGTAAGGGGGTTCAAATGTGAAAGCTAATTAACAAGGTGAGAATTGTGGGAAAAAAAAGTTTACATGTGAACGATTGAAAAAATCAATTTGAAGATGCATATATGAACTCATGTGAATAATCTCTTATGTGAATTCTCACACATGCATCTCCGGTTTGATTTTTTTTCAATGATTCATATATGAACATTTCATTATCATATTATTACCATATTTACGCATTGTTTGGTGAACATAAACTAGGAAATCCTTTTTAGATGAAGGAAATAGTGGTAGAGCTACCTTACCCTTAAGTTTGTGGAAAATCTTATACAGCCAACAAGTAGAATCAATGGTGGATCCAGGAAATTGATGGGGTGGGGGTACGTTGGATGATACTTGGGAGAAGCAAGCATGTGGCCATATAGGACTAGAGGGAAACCATGTAAGACGAAGGTAAAAATAGAAAATTTAAGCTAGTCAACGAACGTTTTTGGTCTTTCACTGGAGGCATTTCCCCCAGTCCTTAAGTGCTAGATCCGGCCTTGAGTAGAATTGTAGTAGAAGACTTGTGCTCTCTGCATATCCATTTAATTCAAATATTAAACAAGGATTTTGGAAACCCATGGAAATAAGGAGACACTTGAAGGAATTGCAAAGTTGAGGTGATGAAGCAGTTTGTCTTAATGGTTGTCATGATGATAGTGGTTTCAACCGTCTTCGCTGCCGATTGTTCTCCTCTTATGTCAGATGCAACCACCATCGTCCTTCCTGTCGTCATAACATTTGTATCCACGTTCGTTTTTGCTTTTCTCTTCTGGTTTCGCTTACAATGATTCGGTGTACGGTGTTGTTAACATTATTACATACGAAGTAAGGTAGATTTTTAATATGAATTTCAACAAAGATCTAGGTTTCTAGTTTGATTAAAGGATGGCTCGAATAAACTGATTTTTTAAGGCCTGGTTGAAATAGTTGATATGTTAGGGTTTTATTTCATACAAATTTATATTCAATAGATATCTATGTTTCTGGTATGTATCCAATAACTTGATTCAAGAAGATTATCTATGTTTTTTGTTTTGATTGCCAAGATATGTGATTATATATTTATTATCATATGTGATAATAAAGTCACATATGTATATTATACCTGGTTTTATTGTTAATAGATCAATGTTTGTATATAATCACATGTGATGATATTGTTAATAGATCAATGTTTTATATTCTTCTTGTTGAAAGAATTATCGAGAGTCGGTGAGATAGAATTTTTATTGCCCGGGAAAGTCTTTTATTTAATGGACTTTTCTGAAGATACATATGTAAACCCACGTTCGCTTAATTACTTTTTTTTATCAATTATTCACATATGAAGATGCATATGTAAACCCACATTTTCTTTTACCAGTTATTCACATAAAAATCATTTTATTTTTGTCTTTTTTATCTGTACCTCTTTGTGTGTGTATCTATATGGGAACATTCAAATTGAAATGCTAAATATGATAAGAACGTGCAAATGGAAGGTTCGTAATTAAATCATTGCAAAAATCCATTTGAAAATGCATATGCGAACTCACATTATAAGTCATATGAGTTCATGTATGCATATTCAGATTGATTATTTCAATATTTACATATGAATCATTTCTTCGAATATTTTCACCTATGTATCCTTCTCATTTTGGAACACCGCATCACCCATTTTGCATAAAATTCACATGTTCCATATAACATGAAATACAATATTACAGACTGGTCTCAATTGTACACATATTGCTACATACAATAATAGCTACAAACTTTTTGCTTATACAAAGTACAGGACTTGAACATAACAAATTCTCAAGTACATGTATAAACTCAGCTTCCCAAAATCCACAAATGTAAAACAATAATAATTTTCTTCATATCTTTCCCTTCCTCTTACCTTCTACATGTGCCCGACCTGTAATGCATATTTTTTAAAACAAAACGAGGGTTAGTCCATAAGGTCTAGTGAGTAATCCCCTTGATTGCTATTACAGAGTGAAAATCATCAAAACACTTTTGGAAAACCAATATTTGAAAAAACAATATTTATAAAACAATCATCATAACAAACCTCATTTTGTTGCTTCATATAGATGAGACAAACAATTCCCCATATCATAAGAATGTTGTAGCCCCACCTCGTCGCATCCCAAGGATATGATAACCCCTGTTTATCGCATCAAATATATACAAGTACACACTTTGTTCCATCCAACAGATGCGATAATCCAACTTGTCGCATCTTATACATGCAATAAACCCCAAATGTCGCACCATAAGGATGCGATAAACATTTTCCTTGCACACACTGGTGCGATCACCTAACTCATTGCATCAAGCAGGTGCGATAACATTATCTTATCGCATCATAAGGATGCGATAAACGCAAACTCATCGCATCCTACAGGTGCGATAGCAGTACACATATGATCAAAATTTCATTTAACAAACTGTTGAGTATGTCACTCTTATCCCAATATACGTCTCTCTTGATTATGTCATCCTTATTTCAAAATGTACACCTCTCCTGATTATGTCACCTTTATTTCAAAATATACACCTCTCCTTATTATGACACCCTTATCCCAATATACACATCTCCTGATTATGTCAGTCTTATTCCAATCAGTTGATAATAATGTAACAAAACTCAAATTATGATAATTAATAGCATACAATCGTTTTCAAGAACACTCAAATACGAACTCATACGGTTCCATATAAAAGCATTTTAAATAAAGCTTTGAAATAAAAACGTACATTATAATCACAAGAAGATGATAACTTTAAAGCAACAATTAATCAGATAAATTCACCTAAGCTTCTTCTTTCTTTCTTTCTTCTTTTTCTTCAAACCCAAGAAACCATAATTTGTTTTCACCAAAATTTTCTTATCCAAAAAGGAAAACAAAAAGAAAACATATATATACTTTTTGATATGAGGCGGTGGAAGGCATATAATATTTTTAAAAAAAATTTAAAAAAGACGCCCCTCAACTTTCGTCACTTAACAAAAGCAACTATCAAACTTTCCAAAAATAAAACCCGGTTATAACACATTTGAACCCCCTTACATATTTTTAAGATTATTTAAAAACAAAAAACCATCGACGAATATTCATTGGTTGTTAGCATTAATCGGTATTTTTTCCTCAAATCAACCACAAACCTCTCATTAGATCCTCAAAATAATGATCTAAAAAACCAATTTGCGTATTTAAATACCTTGCCCCTTCACTTATTCTTTCGTGCCCCCACCATTCCATCTTCTTTTAACCTTTTATTCATAAAGATCAATATCCTCCCCAGTTCTCGACGGTGGGCGACATGGTAAATTTTCCCCTCTCTCTGTCTCATATGTATATACATATGTATGTGTGTGTGTGTAAGCATATATGATGATTTGAAAGTATGTCTTTTCATATGTAAAACATGGATTTCAATAAACGATCTATATAAATAGAAACAAAATCATGAACCACTTTATAGGTTTAACTAAAATTATAACAATTTTAAATGAGTCATCAAATTGTTACAACAATCTTGATTACCTATGAGTCCATAAGAAGCAACATGTATGTTAATAATGTTTATTGAAAATGTGAAGGCTAACGCGGCATCTGGAATGGCTGTGCATGACGCATGCAAGTTGAAGTTCTTGGAGTTGAAAGCTAAGAGAAACTACCGATTCATAGTGTTCAAGATTGAAAACCGTACGCATCAAGTTGTCGTGGAGAAGCTAGGCCAACCAGACGACACCTATGAAGATTTTCAAAAAAGCTTTCCAGCCAATGAATGCCGTTATGCCGTCTATGACTTCGATTTCACCACCAACGAGAACTGCCAAAAAAGCAAAATTTTCTTTGTTGCATGGCAAGTACCCAAATCTCGTTTAGACCACCATGAGAATACGCTAACATTACACATTTCTGTTAGCATATTCAAACGGTTTGTAAACCGGTCCAATGGTTGTACTTTTGATTGTACATGTAGATTACAACTTGTGCAACCAAAATACAACCTTTTGTTGACATATGCCATGGCATTTAATTACGTTGTTTCTTATCTTCGTATTTTAAGGTCTTATTCGTCTATACTATCATCATTCATTTTCAAATTTACATTTTTCATATCCCAATTTCACTTCTAACACTGATCCACATATATCATCAAAATGTTAAATGACCAAAATGTCCTTATAAGAAAGTATTTATGAGTGCAGGTCTCCAGATTCATCAAAGGTGAGAAGTAAGATGATATATGCCAGCTCTAAGGACAGGTTCAAGAGAGAACTAGACGGGATCCAAGTCGAAGTCCAAGCAACAGACGCCAGTGAGATGACTCTTGACGTCATTAAATCAAGAGCATTGTAATTTTTTTTAATTTAAAAAAAATTCCAATATTTTATGGGGCAATTTGGATGATATCATAAGCATGCATTAGGGTTCTTTTGAGGTGGATGTCATTCATGATTTCATGTTTCTCAAGAGAACTCCAAATCACAATTATGTATCGTTCATATTCATAAATAAACCATCTCTTGCTTATATTTTTCGTCTTTCTATGCCATGATTTATATTTTTCACGACTTTTAATATTTAAATAAGTTAATATTATCTATACTAAATTACAAAAATCGTCCTTGTAATTTTATTAAAACTTCGGTTTTTACCCCTCAAACTTTAATAAATACACTAACATATAACCTTATGGTTTATTTATTTAATTATGGAAATCATCCCTAACCATAAATGGCTGTTGGAAATGGCATCACGTGACACGTGTCCCGTTTTCGTTTTCTTTATATGTATTTGTTTGAGAAATTCTAAAATTATGATAGAATTTATGCTTTATATGTTATTTTATATGATTTTTTTCATTTAAGTTAGAATATTGATTAATATATATTTATTTGACATGTATTTGGTTCATAATGTGAATATTTTTTATGTGTTTGGGAAACAAAAAACACACATAAAAGAGTTTTACATTATGAATCGAATATATATGAAATTAGCATATTATGAAATAAATATATGTTAATCAATACATTAAATACTATATTTAGATAGAAATATACCATGTGAAGTGGTCAACAAAACGTTAAAGTAGAAAGTTCTTATGAATCTTATATTTTTAGAGTTTTTAAATGACTAAACCTCTATAATTTATGGGTACAACCGTACAAGTATTCAAGACTTAAGAGTATAAGTATTAATAATTTTTTAAATTAACAAATTTTACTTCTATATATATTATGTGTAATGGTTTTTAAACATCGTCAATTAATGTGACGAATTTGCAATCATCCATTACGATATATTCTTAGCACGATTTCTAAAGTGCCAGGTCAGCTTTAAAAATTATTTAGAAAATTACATTCCCCTACAACAATTTCTTATCATTTGGAAATGACACATCATCATAAAAAAATATTTTAATCAAATGACAACAGAACTACAATTAAATACTATAACTTAATATCAAATAATTTATTAATTAAAAAATTATAATGAAGTAAAATAAATTAATTAAATAAAATACATAATTTAATTTATAAAATATGTTTATTCGATAAATAAATGCTTATATCAAAAACCAATTTCCTATTAAGAAATCATCTTACAACGAACACACTTTCTTAATTAGAAATTCTAGATGGTAATTAGAAATCCATTAAGTATCCAATAGAAATTCCTGAAGTGGATGGTAAAACTCATATTTAGTTATACTATTGGGCTCGTTTATCAAAGACTTATCGGGTCAATTATCTTATTAGATGTACATGGGTCAATTATCTTATTAGATGTACATGGTAGATACTTACCCGGTAAGAGCGATGACAAGAATTGAGAGTTTTACCCGGTACACCTTTACTTGATATACCCTTATTCCTTCTTTAAAACAGGATTACTCATTTTTCTAATTGTTCTCCGGGTCCATGAGATTAATTGAGATATGCACATAATACCTGTAGTTAAAAGTAAAACCCAAAAGAAAAGAAACAAAGGAACACATCACATGATGCATACATAACAACCAAAAGCCAACATGTGATGTAACTTCCATATGAAGTGGACCAACAAGCATAACCTAATAAGCCAGGTCTAGTTCAATAAGTTATATGCATGTAGCTACAAACTTGCATATACCACTAAATCAATAACAACAATTAACTCTTAATTTCTTCACACAAACTATACACAAATAATCATTCAGACTCTGTTGGTGCATGTTAGAATCGCTGATTTCATCTCTTCTTTCCCCATCGACGTCTCAACGATCACCTGCTCATAAACAACCATATTCATCACATTCGTTAACAAGTTTCGTTTATAATATCAGAAAGCAACTTCTTTATACCTCTTGTACTTTGTTTCCAGCTCGAGCAAGCAATTTGTACTCCTTCTCGACCACGGATGCCATATAAACCTGCCCACAATTTATGAAGCATTTAAATTCCCGACACATCATTTAGGATCGGTAATCACACTGACAAAAACAATTGCAGGATACATACAAAGAACAATCATATTTTGGAAAACTAGCTGATAAACTAGTACTCTGCAGTAAAAACTAGCTGAAAGGTAGATAATAATGTAAAATGACATAAAAGGACGTGTGTTCAAAAAATTAAATGGAAAAATATATGGGGCATACTTGGAAACAAATGGAAAAAACCAGGAAACTTAGCCAAATAAAGCTAGCTTCTGGCTAACGAAACAAGGTTTTAATGTAATTTTGCAAGAAAATGTAACTACCTGAAATGTCGGTGCCAAACCGGGGCTCAAGAAAAACCGCCCTTTCTTTACTAGCTCAACGCCTTCGTATTGTTCTAGTTCTTTCACAAGCGAATCAACGTCAGCCCACTGTGCATCAATAATTCATTAGAAACGGTTGTCGTGTAATATCATCGTGCTTTAAGTACACTATAACAAAATCCGCTTTATAAGACGTCAAATCCAGGTTAATAAAAAAAATGTATTAAATGTCCTAATAGACTGTTTTATAAAAATAATTGTGTGTCCAGTGTAAAGATGTTACCATAAGTTAATAGAATGTTTTTGGGCGTCCAAACAAGCTTTTTAGGACACTTTTGAAATAAAGCCTATACAGCCGATTTTGTTGTGGTGTGTGCGATTTTGGCAAGTGAAGGCTGGAAGAACGGAAAAATGAAACGCTAAAAACCTCCTCATCGGGTTCGGCTGCTTTTAATCTTCCATCCAAGTTAGCTTGATCACCGATAACAGCCTCCAAAGCTTCGGTCAACGGATCTGGCTGCCACAAGACGAGCATTTTATTCAAATAGCAAACAATATTCGTCCCGAGTAAATTGCAATGTTTGATAAAAGCATTCATGGGAAACTTGGAATGTAGATTACCGTAATTTCCTTCAACGACAAAAATATCCGTTCGAGTGAAAAATCTAACTGATGAACCTTTGCTTCAACAACCTACAAACAAGAGATGATCGTCATCGAGCAAGTAGAGAAAATCATAAAATAGATTCAATATGAACATGTTATTTAAAATAGCACGCTCAAGGTACCTGCCCGATTTTGAAATTCAATATGGGATCCAAGGTATCGTCCCACGATACTTCAGTCTGGTGAATCAACGCAGGTACTCCTTCGACCTATATCATTACCATATAGAAACCATGCGTAAATACACGAATAAAATACCAGCTATGCTGATGTCCGTCTAATAGGACATCTACGGGTCATTGTACTAATTGTTTATTTCAGAGATCCACAAAAGCCCGAAACCCTCCCAGCCCCAAAAAGCCCAGGCCAAGCCTAAAAGCCCGCCCAAGCCAAAAAAAAAAATCAAAATCTCGACAAAGCCCGTGATTTTTTTGCTTATCATAAAAGGGCTTGGAAGGCCTAAGCCCAGGTCCAAAAAAGCTCAAGACTTGTGCATAATCATTATATCTGTGGTCACTTTTTTCCATGTAATTAACCATCCAACCCAATACATCCCACCAGGAAGCAGGGTTGTCAATCATGGGTAAGATATACGCAGACCTTTGTCTCGTGAAAGGTTGTTTTTGAAAATGAATATTAACGATCATTGTCATATATATATATATATATATATATATTGTGGATGCTCTAGGGACAAACTAGTAATACCTCGACGAAAATACCATAGTAAGTAATCTTTTTGATGCAACACTTCACGACATCTCCAACACTAAGCTTAGCCTGTACGTGTAGGAAATAAGAGTTTGAATGACGTAATGACCAACTAAAAAAAATACCGGAATAATTAGCTCAGGCACGATAAGATTCTCACCATGAGACTTCGCTTTCTCTCGACTGATTCCTCCTTCTCTTTCGGCTTTGCCGAAAATATTAGCTTGTTCAATTCTCTATCTGCCAAGACGACATTTACTTTTATTTTCTGCAACGACAATATCATCACATCTTTGTTATTATCCTTCTCTTCAACTTGTAAAAATAAGTACTCCCCTTGTCCCAAAATAAACTCAAAATTTATACTTTCGGCTAAGTTTAAATCCAAAATGCCTTTTCCTCCATTGGCAATCATTACAAACAATATTTAGGGGTTGTTTACCAACACAGATTGGGTAAGCGCTAAGCGGGTAAGAGTACGGTCTGGGTCAGCACTAATCACTGACTGAGTAAGAGTCCCTCCCTTAGCTTACCAGGTCAGTAAGAGGCAGTAAGCGCGAGTGGTAAACAGCCCCTGATTATTATTATGTTGCATTTAATTTTGGACAGAGGATCAACCTTCATTAACCAGATAAATAATTCAAACCTGACCGACAAACGATGACAAGTATTTGAGTTTTTCGTGATCATAAATAGCAAGAAGATCTTCAAGTTTCATATCGGCTGATATTTCACCCTCGATCTTTTTAGGATCTACGCTTGGGTTAGGAGTTGTCTTGCTTGTAGCATTATAGCCTCCAATAACCCCAAGACTTTGCCTGTAAACAGCAGGATCTAAACCTTTCTTCCTCAACCAAGACTCGAAAGCTAAATATTTCCACTTGGTGGCAAGATTTCGATAAGGCAAAAACCCGATCAAAGAACCAAAAGATGCCTGAAAAAAAGCACAAAACGGTTAAAAACACCAAGAGGGTAATCCTGAAAATAAAGACAAACTTCATATCCAAGCTTATCTAAGCTTGCATAATTCCGTCTTACTAGTACTTACAACAAATCCCCGAGTGCTAGAGTTTATGAGTTCCACTTCTTCTCTTCCCTCTGTCTTGATTAAATATTCAGCTCTTTTCCAGTCGGCATCTTCACGCTCCTATAATATGTATATATTTATTGGAATTAGATAACAGATGAAATATATTGTCAATCAAGTATAGCAGAAGATCATTCATATTACCTTCAAGAATGGTGTTGTGGGCAAGTTTTCACTCTCAATAGGATTAACATCGGGCATTGGATTCATAGGACTCGTAACCCCTTTCTCAATCTTTGACGTATCTCTGGTGGATTGATCTAATCTATAACACATCAACGATAAGAAAAAGATAGATATGGAAGAAGAACAAAAGGGGAACAGGAACTGTGATTTGCTATGATAGTTATGACCTTATTATGTTACAAAGAACACCATCGAACTTTTAGTTTGAAAATATAGTTTTACCTTTTAGGTGGTCCTCTTAATGCAGTATCCAGAGACATTTCAGTAGTCGAAGTGGCTGCTAGATTAGGATCAGAATCAGAAGGTTGTGATCCTTTAGAAAGAACAAAGAAGGGATAATTAGTAGCTGAATGAATTCATAAACTCCTACAAGAAAATGCCTTTCTTTGAAATGGTTGCATTACCTGTTAAAGAATCATTCTCGTGACCAATCTCTTGTAAGTCCAAAGAATCCCCGGTTTCCTGTGATGGTTCAGGATCAAACTTTGCCACATTTTCCATCTCAGAAGCTAAATCAAGATTTCGTGAACTGCTTGATTCGTGTTGATCTTTATAAGTTTGATCCACTGTGATCTCAGGCTTTTGTAGGAGTGAAACATCTGTTTGGATTTCACGTGGACTTTCTTTATCATCATCCGTAACTTCTATTTCTTCCTTCTGCAAAAAAGACTCCGGCTTTTGTAGGAGTGAAACATCTGTTTGGATTTCATGTGGATTTTCTTCATCGTTATCCATAACTTCTGTTTCTTCCTTCTGCAAAAAAGGTGCAGGCTTCCTCACCAATGTCATATCCGTAAACCGTTCTTTCTCCTGTTCATTACTCACTTTAAATGACAACTTTGGCCTCGGCAACATTGCTCCTGAACCATCATCGTCTTTAAAAGTAGTTGGTTTTCGTAATTCAGCATTTGGGACACTTTGCCTAGGTTTGTTCAGACCTTCTGCTAATGGTTGGTTTGGCCTCTCTAATTTCTGCAATTCAGCATTTGAGACACTTTGCCTAGGATTATTCAGACCTTTTGCTAACGGTAGGTTTGGCCTCTCTAATTTGGGTACTACTGGCTTCTCACTTGTTTCAAATTTGACTCCTTTTTTGGGTACTGGCCGAGTTAAATTCAATCCATCAAGGGAATCATTCGGCTTCCTCCTAACATCAGATACATCAAACGGAACCTCCTCTATGTCACTGATGACTGTTTTATTACCCTTCCTATTGTATAATTTTTCGATTTCCAAGTAAGATAATTCCGGGTGTGCTTTTCTGCCGATTATCTGAGCAACAACAGAGAAATATAGAGAAAGATTAAAATTTGCAAGAAAGCTTTAGCATTGCAACTGATGAATAACTACTCGTGTTTCAAACTTTTCTGTAAAACTAAATGAATGGTACTACCAAATTTATATGGAATGGATTACGTTTTATTTTAGAATATGTCTGCTTCTTGTCACTTCTTTTAATCCCAGAAATTACTTTGACTTTTGAAGGTCAAACATAGTAGTTTCTAAATTTATTGTTTATACACGAATAACTTTTTTAGCCATGCTTTCTTTTAAACTTGTTTGCACTTACTTTTATAGTTCAATGCATATATACATTCTTTTTCATAAGCCTGAAATTATCGATACCAAATTTGGAGGTAAAAAATTGTTTGTTCTGACTCTTTTTCCAATGGCAGGAATTAAGATGAGGAAGAATCAGTGTAAATGTGGTTAGATACCCAAATCAAATGAACCCTGAAAGGAATACTTATAATTACAGGATCCAATTTAAAGCATCAAATGTATCCTTTTAGGTTAAATACACTTCCTTTATGGTTTATTTGACTTTTCGAACCACAGTACTTGGTTTTTCTTTGCAAACTGACCATAATTCTTGCAAAAAACGTAATAAGAAAACTATAGTTTGCAAAAATTAACGCAAAAAGAAACCATCGTGCTTAGCAGATTTTGTCCAAAATCACCCATATCTAGAATCGAACTCGCCAAGCTAACGAAAACTCCAGCATGTGTACACATAAAAAACCACCTCTTCATGTCATATTGTAACAAGAAAATATTATCAGTTTGCTGTCTCCTTAGTCCTCCTTCAGTTCTTAGATTACATGGATCCATTAACACTAAATACGAACGGTTGGGTGAAAATATGGTTCAATTCCCATATCAAATGATAGGTACTATCTGTTCACAATCATAATAGTCACTCCTCTACCAATTTGAACACCACCCAAATCAAATTGACCTTAGAGGTCTACTTCTATTCTCAGAATTCAACAAAAAAATGTCAAATGCCCATCATTTAGAATCCAATATCTTATCTTTTTATCCCATCATATCAGAATCAGTCATATACCAATTTGACAATTTGAACAACACGCAAATCAAATTCACCTTAAAAAGTTCACTTATACTTTCAAGATTAAGCTAAAATATCAGAAAGCTGTTCACTTAGAATGGAATGATATATTTTATCACAACATATCAAATTAGTCGTAACATTTTCAAACTCGGAGCAACACCCATATCAAAATTGACCTTGGATTCTACTTCTACTTTCAAAATTCAACTAAAATGTCGAAAACTAATCATTTAGAATTCAATGTGCTCTTTTAATCAGAATCAGTCATGGTCGGTTTGATGTTTTGAATAACGCCCATGAAAATACAATTGTTTCCCAAAATCAAACAAGCAATACAAGTGTACTTTCGTTTCAAGAACCATAAACCTCTAGAGTTTTCATGATTAGACGAATGACAACTTGAAAACAGGAGTAAATATAGAGAGGAATGGGGAGAGAAAGGGACCTTGGCATGGGTAAGTTTGGGGTCTTCACCGATTAATTTCCCAAACTTAAGCTCCATTTGGTCCCAACTGTCAAATTTATCTTCATCTTTAGCGGCAAAAAGTAGGAATTTTCTATGACGTTTGTGATAGAAAGGAAGATTTCTGTATAGTTTGGGATTTTTATAACAAGGGATAGAGAATCTAAACTTTGAAGTATCGGTGGTAGTGGTGGTTGTGGTGAGAGATAGACTCTCCATTTTTCAAGAAAACGGAATCAGCTGTTGTCGATAAGCCCTTCAAGATGACTGTGTGCGTGTTTCTCTGTGTGTGTTTGAGAGAGAGAAGGGAGGGGGTCTATCCGTTTGTCTGATGTCTGGTGGTGACGAGCGACGTAAATTTTTAAGAGAGTATAAGGGCTGAATCTGTAACAATGATAACTTTATATCCAGATTTGTAAATTTTGCAGGATTATTATCGCAATGTTAAATATTTTATGGTGTAAATTTATCATTTGACATTTTAAAACTTAAATTATTCGCCATTTACTAACGTTTATCAAGTCATATTATCTTATCGGATAAATTTAAAAATAATTGAAATCTTTATTCGGTAAAAACAATGGTAAGATCGAGAGTCTGACCCAGTAAGTAAGAGTGACTATTCTTACATTGTTAGTTTTTACTGTGTAAATTGTTAAATACGATATCGTTTTTATGAACTAAAATCATACATGATAAGGTAAAAATAATTACCGATAAGTATTTCGGAGGTAGACTTCTTGGCTAATTTCCTCATATGAAGAATCAAAAAGAAACATAAACGGATTTCACCGTATCATTATCCCATGTTAAAGAATAAACGGATTTCATCGTATCATTATCACGTGCTCAAAAAATTAACGGATGCAGATTTTTCATGGGTGTGGGATATGGAGCAACATGTGTGGGGTTTTATTGTGCTTTAACAACTTATTAAAGCAGTTATCACATGTAATCTTGAATTTTAAAGGAGATGCATTACTTATTTTTAACCCCAGATGTTTTATAATATATTATAAATAATGGATGAATATCTATAGGTTCCACTCTATTTTTATACATATATTTAATACAACTTTTTACTAATAAGAACGTGTCGAAACAAATTTGATATATCCAGATATAAATGTGTTTTTTCTCCTTACATTTTGATGAACATGCTTTGTAAAGAATTTATTGGGTTTACACAAATGCAACAAGATGATTTGTATCCATTATATATGTTTGTTTTCACAATCTAGAGTAAACTAAGGGGTCGTTTACCAAACACTTATTCGATAACTGCTTACCGGTAAAATTTAACACCATTATTTACTTACAGGATAAGATTTTAGTCCACCAAAACGACATCGTATGCAACAATTTACCTAGTAAGCGCTTACCATGGTAAAAGTCGTCGTCCTTACTTACCGAGTAAGTCTCTTGGTCTTTATCTCGCTCTTACCGGGTAAGATTTTTGGTCTTTACCACATTCATGCGGTGAGGTAGTGTTACTTAATAGGCGTTTACTCGGGTAAGCGTTTGGTAAATGGCCCCTAAGCTTCTTTGGGGAATGTTATAACTACAACCATTGCAAATTATCTTCTTCTCATCATTTAAAAGTAAATTACAAATTTATCCCTCTGTTTTACATAAAATCATATTGCACTTTCCTAATTAATCAAATTAATTATGCAGAACATCTATGTGGTTTATATTTTTACACGCCTTTAATTTCTTTGCTTGATGCTAAAAAAATCTGCTAAATAGATTAATTGAGAGGATATTTTAGTCTTTTTATTATTTTTAGTTTAATCTTTTTTTATATAATTTAATTGGATTTTAATTACGAATAATTTATTTTAGGTTTAATAATATAATTTTTTTATAAAAATAATAATTAAGCATTTCGTTAATGATTATCTTAATTATATTTTAGTCCAACAATATGGCATCATATGCAACAATTTACCCGGTAAGCGCTAACCTTGGTAAAAGTTGTCGTCCTCACGTAATGGGTAAAACTCTCGATCCTTGCCTTCGCCCTTACTGGGTAAGATTCTCAGTCTTCGCCATATTCATCCGGTAAGGTAACGTGACTTCAATTCGTAAGCGCTTACCTGGGTTAGCGTTTGGTAAACAGCCCCTTACTTGATAAGAGTTTGGTAAAAAGATAATCTTGACGATTATATAAAAAAGGAGTTGAACTACATAAGTTGGAGTGTAGATGAATGTCAAAGTATAATTCTTGAACCGAGTACAAGAACTCTGTGGCCAAAAACAAGGAAAGAAATGTCAAGGAACCGTGTTACATCGAACATATCTCTTTCCGAGTCGTCTACAAACATCACGCTTCAACATCTCCATGAATTCCTGCATGTTCCAAACCCTAATTAATCAAACAAAACCATCTTTTCTGTAAACATCCACAAAAATTCATGGGTGAAACTTTGTTGATCGTTTCAAATCCCTCCGAGTTATCTTGAATCTGTTCTATATTAAATAAGAGAAAGGGGAAAACCTCTGCGAGTTCCTCTTCTGAACATAATTCAGCAAGACCGTATATATCATGAACATTGTCTTGCAAAAGAGCAGCAGTTTCAACCATACATGAGAACACTTCTACAGCTGAGTTCTCTTCTTCGATCTTCTGAGCTGCTTCTTTCAGATTCGCCTGAAAATTTATATGAAGAAATTCAGCACAGGAATCAACAGTTAGTTTAAAGATAGGACAAGATGATGGATGAATTTAAACTCTCTTTTAGGGGGTGAAATCTTGGACATCCATGAACAGAATGTTACAAATTTAAGTCGGGAATTTTGACAAACAGTTGGTGTTCGCGAAATCTATGTTTTATTTTTGTTTTCTACAAACCTGGCAATCCATTGGTAAGCCGTTGAGGCTTGCACTATCACTGTAACAACGACGATGATGTTCATGTTTCAAGGACGGATCGTGTTCAAGTAAATTTGAACTTGAACCCCCACGATGGAGAGCTTGAGAAAGAAAGGGCATCATCTGTTGAACCATAAACGACATATCAAAGTCGCCACCACCTTGGCACCCATTCATGGTTGCGAACATGCTACCCAGATCTTGATTACCATCCATCTGTTGACCAAGTCGGTTGATCGCATCCATAACTTGAGGGTTTTGAGTTATCTGATCCAAGATATTCCTCAAGAAATCATGGGATTCGAAATCGGTTTGATATGAAACTCCAGCCAAATTCTGCATCAATTGATTCATGATCGTATTCGGATCCAATTGGCCACCGTCAGATGGAAGGCTCTGATTCAAGATTGTATCTAGATCCAATTGGCCACCGGCGGATGGAAGGCTTCGACTGGTGGTAGTAAGAGCATTTGAAGCGGAAGCATCGTCCCCATTTGCCTCTGATATTGTATCTCCTGCTTCTCTCTAATATCATTATTCATAAATTTAGTGCAAAAGCTGAAAATTTCCAAAACTATTTTAAGAATCCGGTTCTCGTTTACCAAACGCTTATTCAGGTAAGTAAACACCAAGTCACATTGTCTTATCGCGTGAATATGGCAAGGACTAATAATCTTACCCAGTAAAAACGAGATAAAGACTAAGAGGACAATGACTCTTATCATAGTAAACACTTACCGGATAAATTATTGCATACGATATGGTTTTAATGGACTAAAATCTTATCCGGTAAGTAAATGATGGTTTAAATTTTACCCGTAAGCACTTACCGGATAAGTATTTGATAAATGTCAATTATACCTTTTTCCAGCATGGTATCGTTCGGTTTGCTTGCGTCTTGAAGATGGAAGAGATTCTGCTAGACGTCGATTTTTGCTGATTAAAAATAATCGAATTCAAAAATATAAAAAAAATAAATAAATATAAACACTCATTTACATAAATTTAAAGAAAATAATTCAGTAATTACCAATTCACTTGGTTGGGGCAAAGCTGGTCACCACAAATTAAGATTCAAGTTAGTTAAATTAAAATAAATTAAATAAAAATAAAAATAATTTAATTTTAAAAAACTCACATAGTTTTCTGGGAAGCCTTTTATTTTTCTTGATTTTTTTATCAAAATCTGGCTTGCAAAATAAAATTCCATCCACTGAGAAGTAATTATCCTCCTAAAAAAATAAATAATGACGTCATCAATCATCTATGATTATTATATACAAATATATTAGAAAAAAATTGTATTTTTTATAAGTAAAATCAAAAATTTTATGAAATGATGGAATAACGTAGTTTTATATAGGTTTAATCAACTTAACCGACAAATAGAGATCGACATCCTCCTTAACATACAATGGAAAACGAAGACCAAGTTCATGAGCCTTCTTGGTTGCCTAATGGCCTAGAAACGTTTTTCTGTATCTCATCATAAACAAAGCAACAACCATTTTCGGTTTTGGATACAGATGGATTGTTTTGCTTAACGATGATCCAAATTGAATAAAAAGATGAAAGAAATACCATAAGGGTTCCATGGCATTGGCTGCATTTGAAACATGTGTTATGATACGAAACTCTGCCAATAGATAGCAATTCATCGGAGTCGATAGTTTCGTCACAAACAATGCATTTTTCTGTAGACATTTCCCGACCTTGTTGCTCTTTCTTTTCCCTTTCTAAATCCAAGGTAATCGTATTCTAAAAATAGAAAGAGCATTCAAGTGTAAAAATGGAAAAATGTTAGGAATCGAAGATGTCGTTGAGTGGACAAGGTTGCTTTGTGGGTTCGATTTCATATTTGACTTTTTATTATAAATTAATTATCGTTCTTGTAAGATTATAAAAAGATACTGTAATTTATATAAATAAATGATTCTAAAAAACTACAGAAACGTAAATAAAAGTTTCACATCACATTTATGACTCCGAATCAATTTCCAATGAGTTAGTAAAATGCACCAAATCAGTTCAAAAGCTAAACTTATGAAGTTTCACCTTCAGAAGTTAACGCTTTTCTTCTGAATTTATGACTTAGTCTTATAAACATTATTAAACTTAATTTTCTGAACTTCAGACTCAACCTTTTATCTTTTGGACTTTTTATTGGCTGTTTGTTTACCTCTTAATAGTTCCATTAAGTGGCAGTCTCTGAATCAATAAGAGGTGAATTTTGTTTGACAAAAAAATATGTCTCTTAATGTACTAAAACCCTTTGAATGATTTTGTATCTTGAGCCTTCATTAACCATTCAACACTTTAATTTCATGATGAATAATTATCAAACAATTATATTTCATTTTTTACTATATTATAAGAGTCTCTTAATTACTCTGACAACTTAATATTTTATATCAAAACATTCAACAATTGTCAAATAGGTGTTTAATAATGTTAGGTTTGGAGACCAATGCAAGTGGAGTTGCCGCAAGAAGGTATCCAACAAAAAATATGATGTAATAGTATGGCTAGATAGAGTAGTCTATCCTATTGATGATAGGTACGTGTCATATAGTAATGAGATTGGCCTCATTAGGCACACGGCGACCACCACATCCGACACTAGAGAAAGTCGGGAACCATCGGTTACCTTACTACTCTTGATGCCATACACACACCATTCTAACCCTTCTATCATTCCAAACCGTATGGATAATGTCGGAGGATGTATTAATATGGGATTTTGAAGAGAACCTCTAAATTAAACTCTTTTTTAGTCTATTTATATATATATACACACACATACTTGAGATCATGTGAGACCAAAGGTTTTTCGTAAGACTCGTAAGACCAATTCTCAACTCTTCGATTAGATCTACAATATGACAATCTGAAAATTCATAAACGTCACGAGACTTCTCAATAATCACAAAATTACCACTGTATAACTTTAAGTCATTAGATCATTAGCTTATAAAGTTGATCAATGAACATAAATTGGTCTTACGGATCTCACGAAAAACCATTGGTCTCACGTGAACCAAACCCTATACATACATATATATATATATATATATATATATATATATATATATATATATATAGACTTGGGATCATGTGAAACCAGCATGTTTTCGTGAGACCCGTGAGACCAACATTTTACACTTGAAACTTCACAGCAAAAATATATATATATTAACATGTACGAAATTATATATAATTTGATTTTTTTAACTTTCGGTCTTCTCTCTCTAATTTTAGCTCATTTGACAATTATAATGTTTTAGCAATTTAGTCAAATGCCCAATTCCCTCTCCTTGTTAGCTAGTCTCGCTCTTCTTTGTTTTCCCGGATGATTATTTTTATGATTGAAGTACCAAACACAAAACTTGTGTAATAATCTTCATCTTTCTTGTTATTAGTGTTATCATTTTCTCGTTTGATGTACAAAATCTCACTTGCAATCTCGTTTACTTTGTTCATCATGATACTAATTGTCATTGTTCAAAACACTAGTCCTTTGATAACACGCTTAAAAGTTGAGAGTTGAGGGAGAATTTGGTCCTAGAATCGAGCTAGAGTGTCTTGAGAACTGGGGTGGTGAACTATTATATGCTAATTTTTCAAATTAACAACTTATCCGAAAAAGTTGATTATGAAAAGTTGGTTGTTGAATATTTTGTTTCAAACAATGTTAGATAAATGAATATATTTAAGTGAATTTTGTATGTTACTTTGTTACTCGAGGATATTTTATTGTTCTAATTAATTTGTATGACTTTTAGTATAATATATTTTGTGAACTTTTGTATTTTGTCTTTGTACGAATGTAACAGGCTCTCCAAAAAGATTGAAACAGCATCGGTAAGAGTCATTACTTTATTTATCTCATCTAGATAAGATTCTCGATCATCAATGTTTCTTATCTGATGAATACGAATCAAGTAAAAGTAACTACTCTCACTTGCCTAAAAATATTATCATTTAACAAATACTACATTAAAATTATTGGTAAGATCATTATCCCGGAATCAACAAGTCTTTATAAGGACAGTTTACCAAACGCTTATCTGAGTAAAGTGCTTACCGGCACCATCGCACTTACTTACCGGGTAAGATTTTAGTCCATCAAAACGGTATCGTATACAACAATTTACCTGATAAACACTAATTATGGTAAAAGTCGTCGCCCTCATCAGAAAAGATTCTCGATCCTTACCTTCAATCTTACCGATAAGATAATATAACTTGATAAACGGATACTAAGCTTTAGTTATTGATGGAACACATGGATACAATATTTATAGACCTTTTTGGTCTATTTTCATCCATACAAACATGGATATATGCATCAACCATTAGAATCCTCCAGACCTACCGACTCTTAAAAAAAGTAATACTTCTCTCTCTTTTACATATGCACAAATTAATGGAGGATCACTACCTCCTCCGATCACTCTTAGCCACCGCCACCGCCACCGCAACCGTTCCCTCTCCCGCTGCTACCACTGCCACTGCCACTACCACTACCACTACCACTGCCACCACCATGGAGCATGAACCAGTGTATCGTAACATCACAACCAATGTTTCTGGCATCACTTTTCGTATAATTATGATATCATTCATCGGAATAATTGCCATTTGGGCGAACCACGAAGCATCAAAAGGCTTCTCCATCACGGTGGTTAATGATGCCGGTAAGCACTCATTGGCTGGAAAACGTTTTTCACTCTTCTACGAATCAAACGATAAAGCAACTCGAATAGTCCTGAATACAAGCAGTGTTGTAGAGAATCTTTTATACCCTAATGATCAAGACTTCCTAAACTCCAAGAAACAAATCAATGGTGTCATACTTAGACTTGCACCGACGAATATTCCGGCCATGGTGGAGGTTGATTCCCAAGAATCCCATGAATATATAATCAGTTTGAGCCCATCAGTGTTCATGGAAACTTCCAAAAACGATGAAGCCATTGTATTGGCGGTGCTACACGGCATGGCTCGGGTGTGGCTGTGGAACGGCAAGGGAGCAACTCCGCCGGTGCTTTTGAACGGCATGGTGGAGTATATAAGCAGCTTAGCAGGCTTCACAGTGACTCAAGTATGGAAATCCGGTGGTGGTGCGACCATGTGGCCGCCGGAAAACAATGAGATTTGCTGGAAAGACAGGGATCCAAGAAGGGTGGCAGGGTTTTTGAGATATTGCGACCAAAGTAAACAAGCAGCTGGTGGTGGTGGCGAGGTGATCCGACGGTTGAACCAACGGATGAGTAATAATTGGCATGATGGGATGATGGATGATGCGATAGGCATGGCAGGCCAACATGCATGTGCATCGTACGACATGATGATGTGGCAATTGCACCCATCCAGCTCAATGTGATTATTGTGTATGGTCCAAGTCCAATATAGAATAAGATGGAATTCATTTGATTATTGTATTTAAATTATAACATCAAACTTTTATTATTATTTCTACGATCATCCATTCTTTTTTTATATAACAATAATGCTTTTGATGGATCTAGATTTGTTTTATGTAGTATTAGGCAATTAAGATACAACGAAGACACCTTCGAAGCCGTAGAAAAATGATAGTTAAATGCAAAGAACAAGAAAGAGTGGCAACGATCATCGTCTACCTCCTTGAAGTCGTCGAGAAATATCCCGTTTCAACATCTTGAAAAAATCCTGCAACCCAAATACAACACAATCAAACACAATATATGGTTGGGTTTACGTGAGACCACATTTTTATACTTGAAACTTCACAACAAAATGTTGTGAACTCCAGAGCAAAAACAGTGCGAAATTTCAAATGTAAAAATGTTTTCTCACGTGTCTTACGAAAACAACATTGTCTCACATGATCCCAAGTGTATATATACACACACATACATATAAGTACATACATTCCACACATATAATTATATAAAACTAAATATTAATATATTTTTTAAAATGTTATCTTATATGTTGTATAACGTATATTAATTGGTAATTTAATTTTTTTTTTCATATTCGTCAAGTGAAAGATGTTGGCTTTAAATTTTTATGTGTTGTTTAAAATATCACATTATAATATATCTAAAACAATATTACAATGTTTATTGGAACAAATTAGATAGAGAATAAATATTATATTTATGTACTTATGTTGTACTTATTTGTTTATGTTTAAGAATATTATTGTAGTTCAAAACGATTTTTTTTACAATTTATCTATTACCCGTTTTGTTACTAGAGTATATATGGATATGGATAAGAGTTTAGGACATGGATAATTATCCATCTCGTTACCCGCTTTTTTTAAGGGATTAGACAAGAGATTAACCCTTACCCTACCCGTTACCAGCCTATGATCCCAGAGCCATTATATAGAAGGTAAATTGCAGGGTCCTTTGGTTAAGGTTTTCTAATTTAAATCATGACAGTTTTGACACATATTTGAGAAGGTCACTGAGTGACAAAATGTCACATCCATACACACAGGAATGTCTATAAATATGTCAGGATATCATGTATTTGAAAAACACTTGTTATGAGGTCATTTAAGTAGGAGTTCTAAAGACCAAGACAAGGACAAGGTAGGGAGGGCGGGATTGAACCTGTTGTGGAAACTCCACCCTCTTTCGGCTCGGATAATTCGGTGGGGACCAAAGATGTTTCATGATCTTTGGCTCACAAAAGGTTGGCTTTATGGGCCAAAAAATTTGGAAGAAGATGCTAACCTGAGCAAGCTCTTCGTCCGAACATAACTCATCAAGAGCACCTGTGTCAAAAACATTGTCATATAAAGCAGCAGCAGTTTCTGCGATGGATGAGAAGATTTCTAGAGCTGGGTACTGCTCCTCGATTTTTTGAGCCGCATTTTCGAGGTTCATCTACAAATATGAAGCAATTCACCACACTAAGCATCAGTCCAAGAACAAACACAAAATCTCAATCAATAAAATGCAAAATGAACGCCTTTAAACCATTACTACATCATGCATCTCACAAGGATTTGAAACTTGAGTGGGGTCAGAACGAACCTGAAGATCACTTGATCTTTCGTTAACGTTCAAACTCTTGACACTACTGTAACGTCGATGAAGTGTACCTTTCCTAGATGGTACAGATTGAAGCAAATTGGAACTTGAACTCCCTTGATTGAGAGCTTGAGAAACAAATGGCATCATCTGTTGAACCATACTTGACATATCAAGATTGCCACTGCCGCCACCACCACCACCGCATCCTCCTATCCCTGCAAGCATGCTAGCCATATCTTGATTACCATCCATTTGTTGAGCAAGCTGATTGATTGTGTTCATCATTGCAGGATTTTGAGCTAGTTGACTCATCATATTCCTAAAGAAATCTGGAGATCCAGACCCAGGTTGATTTGAAACACCAGCCAACAGACCTTGTAATGCAGGATTCTGCGTAACCTGGTTCATGATGGTAGCTGGATCCAATTGGCCACCAGCAGATGTTAGGCTTTGATTAGCAGCATTATGAGTATATGAAGTAGAAGAACCACTACCACCGGCCTCTGATCTTGTCTGTCGATGTCGTCTCTAATATCACATTTGTAGACAATTTTAGCTTATAACACCCATCTAAACAATCACAAACATATAATAGCAAAAACAACAAACTGGTTATCTTACTACGATACTCATATTTGACTAATCATCAAACCTTCACTAAATTATCGGGCCAAGTCAGATGGAGGGGAAACTAGACAAGAAACATAAAGTAGTCGTTGAACTTTTAATTTTTCACTTGAAAACATCAATAAAAAGATTTACCATATTTTCACAACCGATTTAGTTACATCATTTCCACCCAATAATCATCCAAATTAGCAAATTAAATGCAAAACTGAGGGAGTTCATAAATCAATATATAAAAAGGTCATTGCTTGTGAACTAAATCATTAACATCAACTATTGAGCATTTAGATTCATGAAATGGCCTATTTATAAAGAATGATAAAAAGGCCGTAAGGATGTAACTTATGTGTGATTAATAATCCAATTTTATTCGTAGCGGGTTGGATATCCAGGTTAATAAAAAAAATCCAATTTATACTTGAAAAATATAGCAATTATTTTTATCTAGTTTACCAATATTAATATGCCATCCTCTTGGTTAAAGATGTGGATAGATATATACTGTAATAGTTCAAGAGCAGCCAATCAGTCCTAAACATATTGCAGTTCTATAGCACTGAAAAATTATTAACATAAGCACACAAAGAAACAAAAAGGATTACTGATGTTTAACAAATAAATTTTTTAAACAAGGGCACACCTTAGGTTGTAAACCTCCTGAGCCAAGTCCAAGAGGAATGGATGAAGAATTTCTAGGGGTATTGCTCTTCAAATCGGATGAACCACTTTCCATTCCGCTTAGAGATTTCATTCTCGTGCCACTGGAAGTGGCATTTCCTGTATCCTGTTGAATGCTAAGTTATTGACATTCTGGTAGTTATGATGTTAATAAATCCCAAAAGGAAGACATGAGAAACAAGTATAAGACATACTGTTTGAACCTCAGGAAGAACGACATCTGCTTGGCCTAGATTGGCAAAATAATGAACTTTAACACGAAGTCACAAACTAAACGAATTACAAATACCAATTAACGTATTACACATAAACATACCAACAAAATCTCTACTTCTCATGTCATCACCAACACCTCTGGTTTGTGAATTTCCTCCGGCTATTATCAATGGAAGGTAGTCAAATGTTTGTAGTGAAACAAAAATACAAATTTCTAATCAAAAGCAGGAGTAACATTTACCATTTCTATTAGCAAGTTCTCCTGGGTTTGTTTCAATATTAGTTGCCCTTGGACCTACTCCTATGAATAACACAAGTGAAGACCAACATAACACATACAATGATTAGGCTAGCCTACATGAAGTCATAGGAGTCGAAATGGGGTTGGATACTAGCTTCTTACCAGCATGGATATGTATGTTAAGGTGCCTTGGAACAGCTCCAACTCCAATAGGACCAAAAGCCCCAGGATTCCCCACAGCAGTAGCATTACCACCAAATAGAGAGTTAGTTTGCAGAGGAAAGGGCTGAAAGAAAATGTTGAATTCATTATTCATAATAGAAGCAAATACTGTTTCTTGTTTGTGCCAAAGCTATTCATAAAGCACAAGCTGGAATTGGTGAAATTAAAGGGCATTACATTCATTTTCTTAGGAACTCCTGGTGAATAGATAGAGTACAGAAGATAAAGACAAGTGATACAATAAGTAACTTTCTATTATAAAATATGCTAAAGAAGACAGTTTATGCAAACCATGTAATCAATTTGTGCCTTTAAATACATTTTGCTTATTTTCCTATGTGAAACGAACAGTGATTATAAGGACAAATACAATTATGTTAAAATGTGAATCAGGTCCTCCGCAGAGGTCTCAGTATTTCACCACTAGACGAGAAGAGGCCCTTTTCATTTTGACGCTTGTGAATCCAACACAATATTCCAGGAGAGAGTAGGTATTTTGGTTCTATTCCTTTAGGCCAAATGAACACTATGACATTTTATCTATTTTATAACGAGAAAAAGATGTTCTTGTAGTCCCATCTCCTTGATGCATGGAGATTGGAGAAATTGGATGGGGACCACAAAATGAAGAATAGGGACTGGACGTAAATGGTATAAACGAATAGCATATCACACAAACATCTATCCAGGTTTGAGCGTAATCTTCACACATGCCCCACTAATATTGAACGGTTTTATAACAGCAGACGCAGAATCCTGCTCATTGTATATCTTTTCTCAATTCAATTTCACAATTGCCGGTCAAAGGATAGAGAGAGTTAAAACAAACCTGAACCATTATAGGATTAGGACCTAATGGAGATATGTAAACAGCAGGCCCCGCGTTTACAGAAGATTCAGCCTGAAGTGTTCACCCAAGCCAATTGTAAATGGTGATTCTGACAAGATAATACTAGTGCAAAGAAAAAACCCGAAATGACATACATGAGACCGTCCAATACGCAATGTCAGCATTGTACGACCAAGTTCTAGCAAAAGAGCACCCAAATGTTGCATTGCAAGCCCAGACTGCATGGCCTCTGTCTGAATCTGGGTTCTCACTGTGACATTAGTAATATGCTCCTCTTCCTCCAGTCGTCCTGCTGTATGCTACAAATTACAAGGCAAATTCTTAATTAAATGATCATCAGAAAGTTATAACTAATTTTAGGTCATCTAAGCAAAAACATGAACGCAACCAAGAATGAACTTAAGTGAGAACCACGGTACATTAGGATCAAGATACAACCAAAACATAGAGAAACTTCCATGTTTAATTCAGAACTGCCATTTAGATAAGAGACTAAGTGGACCAATAATGCAGAAGGCATCTTCAAGTAAGTAGCTCTCAAGGACTCTACTACTGCAATCACTAATTTATCATAATCCCTAAACTGCAAAAAGAGTGACACAAGAAAGAACAGATCTCCTAAATATGTGGATATGAAAAACAGAAGAGCATAAGGAAAACCACAAAAAGAAAAGCATGGTATAGAGAATGGTAAGTACAGATAAAGAATCAATAGCGGGCCCGCTGAGAAGACGTTGTGTACGTCGCAGAACAACTGCCAAAGCTGTTGGTGATAGCAAACCATGACCATTTGAAGGCAATTCTACAGCCGGTAAGCCTTCTGTACTAAGTGAAGGGTGGTTTGGCTGATACGCTACAAAAAGCTCCAAAAGTAAAGGTCATATAAATCATGCAAATAAGGAATTGTTATGTTAATAGAAAGAAGACAATTGAGTTATTACCATTCTGTGATAATGCCTGTTCCATGCGGTTAATAAACTCGGAAAGTGTGTTTAGGGAATCAGGAATTGGCTACAGGCATACAACAAACATACAAAGTAAGGTTGTGTACCGAATCCAAAAGAAACTTTTTACATATAAAGGAAGTTTAAAACATGTTACTACCGTAGCAAGCGTAGGTACAATTGTTGCTGCTCCTAAGGGGTTTTGTAACCCTTGAGGCATAGATTGACTGGGACTTCTAGGCTGTGACTGGTTTCCTGATTGACCGTGATTGCTGACACTTGCTCCTGTTTCATTTCCTTGGGCAACTTGCACGGGAATACTGAACTGTAACCAAGTAGATGATCAACATATATCAAGCAGTAACCTCATTACCACTTAATTTTTCTTTTAGCAAACTGTAAAAAGACCAATTAGATTTTCAAGATCTCCAAAAAATAATGTACTATTCAGAGCTTTGTTGATGTATAAATAACAAAATACATATTTGGATAACATCTATATATTTATGTTACAGAGGATCATATGTCTATTTGGCTTGTATAGATTTTTTTAAAAATGGCATATGCAACTGTACACTATCTGGACATACAGTATGGACAAATGACGAACCACTATAAGTCATGCTACAAAGGAATCTCAGTTTGACATATGACTTACCTGTTAAGATGGAGATGTCATTAAGACAAAATGCAAGCAAAACAACAGAAGGGTAGAGGTCCACTAAAATGGGAAGATGCAAACTGATCAGGATTGTACTAAAAATTCAAGTTATACAATTTTGGCTTAAGAAATGCAATACAAAGATACAAACAAAAGTATGCAGTGGGGGTTCATGGCATGAAGCATATGGGATACTTGAGGTGAAAAGAATCAAATTAGTTGTTTGTAACTGAGACCACAACTGATAAATGATACATTAAATGCCCATAAATTGAAGTGAGTATGTATAGCTTTTCTCATTTGCGAGGCATGTTTATGGACCAAAATAAAAGTAGCTTAATTTATCCACTTGAATAAATGTACATGCATGCAATCCTTATGAAAGATTGTTATCAAGATGGAAAGAAAATAGAAATACAAGGACAGTATCACACAGAAATGTAAAGGAAGATAGAACACAAGTCACCTGCATATTTGGTTGTGCTCCACCAATACCACCCATGGGGGTCTGGCCCCCCATTCCAAAAGAATTCAGAACGGCCCCAATCACCTTGAATGGGGAAAAAGGTTTAAACTATAATGGCCATTAGAAAGCCACTAATGCTCACTTTATCGACAACATTTTACAGAAGGCAAAGAGAGAAAAGAAACGCACATGACTTATATCTGGATTGCCGCCTTCATTTTGATCCCCAACACCAAATGTCCCTAGAACTACGCTATGTGAAACATGCCCAACAACAGGAGAACGTGTCCCAGTAGTATTAGCATCTTGTCCTGGGACGAAAAAGTCTGCTTTTAATTTATTACACTATACACTCCCTTTGTCCCATATCTAAGTGACTATGTCCAACATTCGACTTTTGCTTGTATGTTAAGGATGCTACAATCAGTCTTTTCTCAAAATCGTAGGGGTTTTTTTTTTCTTTTTGGAAATAGTAAATTTAATTTAAAAAATGAAGTGCTTATGTTAAAACATGTATCTATATGCCTCCCAACATATGGGCCAAATGACAGTTTTCACTTAATATGGCACAAAGTGAGAATCTTAGCACCAAAAATATACCTGTATTACTAATACTTGCAGTTGTCTCTGCATTAGGGGAGCCAGATGCTGCTTGTGATTCGGATGGTTGTCTAGCCACTAGATGCAGAGTATGTCCACTTTCAACGTCTATAAAATGTCAAGGTTTTCACTTGAGAACATACGTAATCAAAGAAATATTGCTTTTCTGGGAAGGACATATCTTCTTTTTACAAGTTAAACCGTCTAGGTTGTCTAGAAAGCGATATCACTTTATTGCCTTACTAAAACGCTTGTAAGAGAACCACCTAAAAGTGAAATTTAAATAGAAGAAAAACGTTGCAACAGTTCCTCAAGAATAGTAGGAAATATCATAGAAATAAGAGATTCAGACAATAACCCAAGCAATGGTCTGAATGCAGAAGATTGGCTAAAAAAATAACAATTGTCAGCAATGATAAATTTCAATAAATAACTCAAATGAACAACTTCAGTGAAATCTTTCAATGGCCTGTTATTACTGATCATGGTCTACTTCTTCACATCCACCGTATTGACCAGTTCAGATTCAAGGGAGGGTGATCAAAGTGACCCATAAATATTCTACACAGGTTGCTCTAATATTATGTAACATAAACAATAGGATACGATATTCGGAAAGAAGGTCACCATCTTTTAAGACCTTGCCTCTAAAGATCAGTCGTTGCTGTTCCACTGGAAGGTCGAGTTCACGAGCTATTTTTTCCTTGAACATTGAAACTGGCATCTGAATTTTATGCAACAAAGATATTAAAACTAACAAAAAAACAACCACTGAAGGAGAGGGAGAGACATGTATATATGGAGAGGGAGAGGGGCAAAGAGTGATAGAGATACGTTTTTGTCAACATTAAAGCTGTGTAACTGTGAATCTAGTGTCTTGATATTAATCTCCACCGTTGATTCAGAATTTTCAACATTTGTAGTTGCAGGTTCATCTGGATGTTTATCTGCGGTACCTATTAATTTCAAACTTTCAACAGCAACATCAGCTATACTCAAACCTGCATCAGAATGTTGATCTGCCCCACCAGTCAATTGAGGACTTCTAACAGCAACATTAGATGTGCTCAAACCTTTATCAGAATGTTGCTTTGCCACACCTGGTGATTCCGAACTTCCAACAACAACATTGGTTCTACTTACACCTTCATCAGAGCTTTCCATATCTATTGTTTCAAATCTTTCAACATCATCATCATCTCTACTCACACGTTCATCAGAATGTTGATCTGTCATGCCTGTTGATTCGAAGCTTCCAATAGCAACATTAGTTCTACTCACACCTTCATCAGAATTATGATCTGCCATGAGCAAGTATCTCGAACGAGGATAACTGAACTGATCAAGACTATTTACTATGATAGACTATCCCATCTTCTAAAAGATCTGTTCATCCATGGCATGATGATAATCAGGATAAACAAAGGAAAGAACATAAAAAACAAAAGATGGTGATAGTAACAGCCATGCATTCTTGAAACAAATAGGATAGGAAGGTGAAAGAGAAACAAAAACACTTATCTACACACAAATGTATTAAAAATTTGAATGTTCAACTACAATCCATATTCTAACTTAGTAGAAAACTAACACAATTCTGAAAAGTTTCTCCTATCGTATGTGAGATAAATTGAAATGTAGATTATCTAACGTTTAAGTACGATGACACTAAAATGAGATAACAAACTAGCAGAAAGATTGGATTTTTTTAACATATATAAGATAAAGCATGCATTCATCAAACTTTAATTTTTTACTAAATGGTTTTCCCCCAATTATCTTATGTAACAAGACACCAAAAGGATGGGACGATGATGAAATCCCATTGTGGAGATCATCTAAAATCCCATGTTTTGGGGGTTTTCAAAAATAATAATCAAATTAGGGTTTAATTACATTCAATAATTTCGGTAGGGCATTAACTTTGGATTTCAGAATGTGAGAAAAAGAAGATATTGCAAAGAAACTGGATATAGAAATAGAAGTCAGTCAATTAACGTAAAGAAAGCATAAAATTACGTTTCAAATTATAAAGCATAACTTACCGGAAAGGGTTGTTGCCATACTATTCTAAGATTCATCGTCTTGGTGCGAACGATCAAGAGGGAGAGACGCAATTGATTGGGTTTTAAGAATCAAATCCTGAATTGCAATGTAATCCAGAGTCCAATTGGTCGACTTTAATCTGAGATCAAGTTTCAAAACCCAAAAACATTCTCAATTTCAACAAACCTACGATCTGCATGTGTATTCTGTCATGCGTATTACAGTTTCCTCTATCATTGATGGAAATCAACAACAAAATTTGGCGTCAATCGAATCTAGCATAGCCCTCCATGCAATCAATTTTGGCAATTATTTTAGGTGTTTTCATGACAACAAATATTTTGAAAATCAAAATTTTTAGTAATCTCTTTAACTTTATCAAATTTTGTTTTTATATTCTTGAGTTTAGAAATTTATTTCGCAAAAAGAAAGTTGATTTAAGAGAATTTGCAAATTGTATGAAAAAAGTAACGTAATTTAACTTGATTTTTATTTTGGGTAACGTACTTTTAAAACTTCCATTTTGATACCTAAGATGTAAAGTTTTAAACATTTAAGTATTCGGATAACGATTAAAGCATTAATCGGTTATCAAGTTGATGTGGCGAGTGATATGGTATCTTGTTAGTGTTTCAGCAAATTATACTAAGTTGAATACCATATCACTCACCACATCATATGGTAATTGGTAACCGGTTAATATCTCAATCGATACTCATGTATTTAAATGTTTAAAACTTTTACGTTTTATGTACCAAAATAAAAGTTTTGAAAGTACATTACTTAAAATATAAATTAAATTAAAATACATTATTTTTTCATGCAATTTGCTCGGAAAAAAATGAAAAGTAAAGAAATATAATTTTGACAAAAATGCTTTTGATTTAACAGTTTAGCATTATTGGTTACTTATTAAATCCAATAGTAAATTATAATTTTCTTCCCTGTAGTTTGTAAAAAAATACGATTTTGTCCCCATTAATTTATAACTATTTTCATTTTTATAATTTATTGTTTTAGTCATTATGGTTTTACGGAAGTAGTTTGAGCTTAGGGACGAAAATAACTAAAAATTAAAAATCATGGGACATAAAGTGTAATTTCTGAAGTGCAGGGATGAAAATTGTGACTTTTAACATACCACATGGACTAAAAGCGTAATTTACTCTAAATGAATTTATACCGGAAATTTTAAGAAACTATGCTCAATGACCATCCGTATATCAAAAATATACTCTATGGTTATAGTATATAAGAAAATATGCTACATAGTTTACCCTCATTTACACTTTGACTTCACATGAGATTCTATTATGTACACTTACATGATTTCATTGAAACTACTCCCCTTTGATGGTAGACGTTTTCTATTTGCGCGTCTTAATCTTATTTGAATGTGATGTGATCTCACTCATTTACGAATTTGAACACATTTTATTAGATCGTTCTAATGATTGCTAAAATGTTTGTGATGAAAACCGTGATTACTGGTTCTAAAAGAGAACAAAACTTTATATAGGAGCACACCATGATTAACCTACTAAGTCGATTAATAAGTATCATATGTCACAAGCTTGAAAAGTTGATAAGTTTTAAAGTTCGCAAACAACTCAAATAATTGATGCACTGACAAAATTTCATTCAATCAAAGAGTACATCTTGTGATAAAAATACAAGTGCTTCTAATTGTATCTAAGGTAGCTAACATATCATGATAAGCTATGGAATAAGCAAAGATCATTTATCAAAACCTTGTATCCTATGGTTGATGTCATGTATGATGCAATGTAAGGGTTGTTTCGTCATTCATCCTCTTGAACCTTTTATAAAATGTCTTTGTACAGTGTATCGTATTTGTGACTTACTTTAATCTTTTAGAACATCTCCACCAACTATGCTAAATGAGAGATTTTGAAGTTTTTTTTTACTTGAACAAACATGTTAAAATGTATTGCAAACGATTTGAGCTTATGATTTCAAAATATTGCAATATAAAGAATAAATCTAAATACCATCAAGTTAAATGTCTGATGCATCAACGGATAATCAATCAGACCCTTATGCAATGCAATGACTACTTTAACGAGGAAAAAGTGAGAGAACCCGTAAGTTAACAATTGACAACAACTTTGATGAAACTTTGACGATTTTGTAGAAATCGACTCCTATTTTACGAGAGGGTTAGATTAGTCAAATTAGGTTACCTTCAAGTACATACGGGGAGACTGTTCAAATTAATTATCGTGCTAAAACTCAAATCATTTGTACTTTTTTTGAGAATAGAATAGGATACTTCTTAATGTCATGGGTGGATTTCCTTTCGGGTGGGAGTCTCACGCTGATTACGTGTCCTTTTTGTTTTTTTATTTATCAGATGTATCTCCTCTTTCCAAAATAAATAAATAAATTGTAATCTTGTTGTGTTTTCATTAAACAACAATATTTCATCATAAACTTATATATAACATAATTATCATCAGACCAAATTGAAAGACCAAAAAAAAAAAACGTGGAACATTAAAGAAAACGTGTAAACAAAAAATAAATGTGATAGCTCTTGTCGATAAACATTGGTGTAACTGTAGGGGTATAAATGAGTCGAGCTTTTAACGAGCTACTCGAACTTGAGCTTAATAGCTATCGAGTTCGAACATAAAATAAAACTCAATTAAGGGTTGTTTACTAGGTGTTTACCCGAGTAAACGCTTACCAAGTCAAATTACGTTACAAGATAAATATGGCAAAAACCAATAATCTTATCCTGTAAAAATGAAAGCATGGACGAGAGTCTTGCCCGGTAAGTGAGAGTGACATCTCTTACCATGGTTAGCGCTTACTGGGTAAATTGTTGCACATGCTAATGTTTTAGTGGACTAAAATTTTACCTGGTAAGTTGGTCATAATGTTGAATTTTATCGATAAACGCTTACCCAGATAAGCGTCGTTTGGTAAACGGTCTCTTAAGTCGAGGTCCATAACACTAGTTTTTGGCTTGACTCATCCGAAAGCTTGATTAAACTTTACAAGCCAAGCCGAGTCATTCGAGTCTACACTTTTTCGAGCCAAACATATTTATATGCTTATAAACTATATAATCAAAATATAAAAATTATAGAACTTGACTAAATAAACGAGTTGATCGATCTCAAATCTTGATCTAAAAAAATGAGTATCGAGCTCGAACTCAAATATTGAGAAAATATCTGAACTCGAGCCCCATTTTGGAAAAATTAATCAAACTTGAACCTGATATTATTTTTTCAGTCAAACTTGAATAATCTGCTATTCGACTTTATTGGAATCATTCACAACGCAAATTGTAACTACTCCCAACTTTTCTTATGTTAATCTTTACCCATGAAAATGTAATAATATTTTTATATTACTTTTACTTTTAATAATAATACATTGAGAAATTTATTAAAATAATCAATTTTCAGGGTTAGTTTTACCTTCTAGCTATTTTCTCTCAAAATTTATCAAAATAATCATAAGTCTGCAATTATAGACCTAGCTAAAAGACAAATTTTTTACGCTTTCTACCTCTATCTGTAAAAAAATATTACATTTTTCAACTAGATCCGCAAAAAAAATTACATTTCCCACTCATGTCTGCAAAAGAAATTAATTTTCCTAAATATTTTTATGTGTTATAGAATAATCGAAAGAACACAATAATAGAATGAAGATAATGTATCTGTAATTCTTGTTAATTAAAAGTCCTTTAAATAAGGATAGTTACAATAAATATTAATTATAATCTATCTATAATATATTTTATCTTTATTTAAATAATTATATCCTTCAGACGATACACTTAGGTGCCGTTTACCAAACGCTTACTTGGGTAAGCGCTTACCAAATCACTTTACTTTACCGGATGAATATGGCAAGGACTAAAAATCTTACCCGGTAAGAGCGAATGCAAGAATCGAGAGTCTTACCCGGTAAGTGACGACAATAACTCTTACCATGGTTAGCGCTTACAGTGATAAATTGTTGCATATGATGCGTTTTAGTGAATAAAATCTTATCCGGTAAGTAAGCGATAGTGTTGAATTTTACCGGTAAGTGATTACCGGGTAAGTGTTTAAGTAAACGGCCCCTTATACTAGGGGGGGTGTTTGGGATTGCTTATCAAAACGACTTATTAACTTATTTCAGTCTGGTACCGGAGATAAGCAGTTTTTTAGTGTTTGGGTAAAAAAAAAAAAACTGCTTATACCGGTGCCAAACCGGTAATAAGCAGTTTTTGATAAGTTAATCCGTAGTGACTTATGAAAATCGACTTATTATCGATTTACCATTTTACCCCTTTCTAACACTTATCTCTAATAATCATTGATATCTCTTTCTCCATCTCTTCACCTCTTCTCCATCAGGTACGTCTTCTCCACCAAAACCAGTAAAACCAGTTGCACTTCTCGCCATCACTTTCTGCATCACCATTTTCACAATCTTCATCTCTTCTCCACCATCTTCTTCTCAATCAGCTGTCAATTCSAAGTCAATGGCGTCTCGAAGCTTCATCTTATGGTTACACGGCCTRGGTGACTCTGGTCCAGCCAATGAACCCATCAAAAACCTCTTCATTTCACCTCACTTCACCAACACTCGTTGGTCTTTCCCATCTGCTCCATCTCAACCTGTTACCTGTAACCGTAAGTCCCAATTGTTAATTAACAAATTCATCTTCAATTTTACCTTCGATTTGTGGGGTTTCGGTTATGAATCATATGTGATTTCGATTAACCAATGCATCTTCGTTGAATTTAGGTTTTCGGTTTTGTTGCTGTCATAATAAACTTCAAATTGGGTGTTCACGTGGCATGTTTTGAATAATGTTGCTTAAAGTATAGTTCATATATAAGATCGGTACGAAGTTAACACCTTCATCCCGCTGGTGACGATTTGATGTAGAAGACTGTCATTTTTGGTCATTTTACAGATATAAGCAAAATTTGCCAAACACTAAAAAACAACTTATCAGCTTATTGCACTTTGGTACCGTTAAAAGCTAATCCAAACACTTTTTACAAAACTTCGATTTAATACCATATAAATTAATAAGCACTTTTATAAAAAAACATAAGTTGTTTTAAATAAGCGATCCCAAACACCCCTAGGTATGATGTTAAAGTTCATTTTAATTACTTGAAAAAAAAAAAACACTTTCTAACCACTACTGTGCTTGTCTACACTAGTACACTGCACCTCGCTCACTGGCGTACCCAACCCTCGATCTGAAAACACACACTCTTACGCGCACACACTCAAACGCATCATCTCTCCCAACAAAACGAGCTCTTTAATTAACGATCATCTTCAGATGAACGATAACAGTGGTAACAACAGTAACAATCGCCGGTATCCTCCCGGTATCGGAAATGGTCGCGGCGGCGGCGGATGGTATGGCGGTGGTGGAGGTGGTAATTTTCAAGCAAACCCTAATTACCACCATCAACCTCGAAATGCTAATCAAATTCAACAGCATCAGCATCAACATCAGCAGCAGCAGCAGTCACAGTACCTGCAGAGACAGCAGCCCACACAACAACAGTACAATCAGAAGCAGCAGTGGCTAAGACTGAACCCTAATATCCCTGGTTCTTCTACTGCTAATAGTAATAACTATGAAGTCGAGAAAACCGTGCAGTCAGAAAGCAGCGTTGATTCAAGGTCAATTTTTAAATTCCAAATCTATAACCGTTTTCTCGAGCCTTTACAAATATCTGATTTTATATTCTTGAGACTGCAATGACCGTAAATCAATTGACTTTGTGTAAAGAATTTACAAGCAGGTTACATCTATACGACAATTCTTACCTTCGAGGTGCCTACCTATATGTGTATACTTCAGATTTCAGATGTTGTCATATACTGTCGTAGTCGTATAATCAACGGTGATGTTAGATATTTGTGTAGATTTACTCCAAGCAGTATCTGATCCAGGAAATTCATTGACTGGGGGAACAGCTGCCACCACACATTTAATCAACATTAGCGTTTAGCACTAGAGAAAACAAACAAGTTCATCTCAGAACATTTACCATTTGACTAAAAAAGGGAACATTTAGCAAAATCAAAACGGCAAAGAGCAGTAGATAAAACAAACGAGTTCATCCCAGAGGCCAGAAACCGAATAAAAGCCCAGTGAGCATTTAGCAAAACTAAAACCAAGTTCATCCCAGAGGCCAGAACCCAAATGAAAACAACAAGTTCATCAAACAGCAAAGAAATCCAAGAGCAAACAGCAAAGATGTCAAAATTTAGCAGGAGCAATAAGTAGATAGCAAGAATAAATAATTGAAATTTGAACCTGATGAGAGACAGATCTGGCTACTCTGAGTGCAGAATTAGCAACTAGGGTTAAAGACTTGAAGGTGGATTAGCAACTAGGTTGGAATTTTGAATGAGCCGTCTGCCGCTTGACAAGAAAGGAGCCAGGATGTATGTGACTCTGTGTCACTTCGTGAGTGCAGGAGTGGTCGCCGATGATGGAGATAGCTGTGGCCTGGGGGGAATGGCGGATGGCTGGGGGCAACCAGAGGGAAAAGGCAAAAAAATATGTAGGTCACAACTTTTTGACTGGGAGCCTTTTCCTGCACCCCTTTAAAGGTAAGGCCGCCCCTGTCCTACTTTGACATAACGAGGCATGGGTGTTTTACGATTTGCTGGTTTAAGGAACTCATATACCTGCAGGCTGCAGGTTTTTCAAGAGTACACAGGCTCTTTTATGTATGGTTGTTGGTAATCTTGGAGATGAGTCTTATATTTGTGTATGTATGATTTGTGTAAATGTTATGAGGTAATATAGTGGTTCTGGAATCATAGCTAGGAGTGTGATTTTGATTGTATCGAAGATCTGTTTAATCTTGGGAAAATTGATTATCTTGCAATAAATACTATGTTGCTGTCTTTAGAGTTGCTTAGTTTAGTGGCCATATTAAGCACCTAGACTTGTGAGTTGTGATGCCTCCAGCAGTTTTAACCAAGTGTTTATGAATATCAAATTGATACTCATATTTTTCATTGGATACTTATGTAGAAAATGCATGTTCTGACGAATGCTGGTGAAATTTGTTCATAACAGTTGCGAAGGGTCAGTGATCTGATATAGGAAGCAAGTTTTTTTTTTCCAGGGAGCAAATTTTTCAGCTCCCAGAAGAGACGCAGGTTATTATGCTTCTTGATGTGCCCCCACATTCTTTTCAAACTGCCATTGGTAGTCTGAAAAGCTTGAAAAACTATTGGTATTATATGATAGGACAATAATAAACTACAATATTTTGTAGTTGGCTAGTTGCAACTTTTTTCTGTGTTTCTGCTTTATGTTTGCCCTTGTTGCTGCTACCTCTTCGGTTTTTAGTGATGCTATCGTGCTTTTCAGTTTTCGATTGCAACAATTTCTATCAGGCCATATTTGGAATGATTGTTCTCAAAGTTTGGCATGGTTCAGTCCTTGAATTCCATACATTCCAGTTATTAGTCTAATAGTCTCTCCTCTCTCTTATACTAAAACTCCTGCAAGCACTATAACTTGACTTGACTAAAATATACTGCTACGAAGCCCTAGAACTTGCACACATTGTGTTTCCTTGAACACATGCAATTTTAAAGGGCCAGCACGGGGACCCACATGCAAGCAAGCACCCCACCCTCCCACATGTTGGGCATGTGGGTTTTCAGAAGATAGCGTAGTCAACAAAAATTTATCTTTGAACTTCTATGTGGTGCTCTTCGTTCAGGGGTTTGAGCTTAAGCAGATGTATAATTATTTTATTGGAGAGATAGAGAGGATACATACTTATGAATGTAACCCTACCTAGCATGAATATTTTCTCATGCCTAAAGATGCTTTTTTTTCTTGCTTGTTTTTGAAGATTGTCGTAATTGGTGGCCAAACAATTAAAACTTCTCTTTATCTTTGATTTTGTCGGAAGTGGTGAGATTTGGCTGTCATCCCATGGTCTAACGTTTTCCAAGTCTGCGACCAATGTTTCCTTGATTTCTTATTTGCATCCTTCGACCATAGAGGCCTTTTTTCTAGATAAAAATACAGTTACAAGCCCTACCAGGTATATGAAGTTCATATTCTCAATAGATAAGCTATCAAAGTCTTAACTTTCTTATTTACTTGGTAATTATTTATTTCAAGAAGTATTACTTAGATTGATACTTGCATCCTTTTGGTGCGTGAGATTTTCTCCTTTTCACCTTTTTTTGCTTTTATAAAGTTGGGCAGGGTTGGGAGTTGTTCTACCCATTTGATATTTTCCTCATTAGGCTTTAATTGGATAATGTTTCAACACATGCCTGTGCATATATAATTGATAACCATCTATAAGCGGGTTGTGAACTTATTTATTTATCCATTATGTGGGTTTAGCTCTCAAGATTGGAAGGCACACTTAAACATACCTGCAGTGGATAGCCGTTACAAGACTGAGGTATGCATGCAACAATTGACATTACGAATATGCTGCTTAATAATAGTAAATCTTTTAGCATCTTGTCTTCTTACTTTTTTATTAGTACATTTTCTTTTAAAGCTTATTTATATAGTAAGTACCTTATCTATATTTTATGGATATCAATGACTATCTTCTTGCACAAAGGAAGTGCTATATACTATTGTTATATATCTGAAACTTGCTGGTCTAGATCCCTCCCACCCAAACAAGTATTCTCTTTTCACTATTGAATGTCGAACGTAGTACTTCCCCACGTAAAAGTTTATATGAATTTGTTTACCATTTAACACCCTTATTCACATATTATTTTGTGTACTTTCAATTTAGAAGTCAATCTTTTTTAAATTAAATAATATCATAATAATTTAATGTTGGAAGTTGCCTGTTTGAAGCTCAAAAGTCAAGAAGATGTGGGATGGAGTATCGGATGGCTGGTTATTTGTCTTAAAAGCTGTTGAAGCATGTTTTGGATTTCTCTATATTAATAGCTAAACTAAACTTGCGCTTTAGTACTTTCATGGACTATTATGTTAAGGAGTTATATGAAATAATAATGCTCTTAATCTAAATCCTTGAAATGCATTGTTTCAACATGTCTACACTTGTGCAATCATCAAGAGGTTATTGTTTACCTTTTTTATGACCTTACTCAAAACTAGCCTTTAATCCTACCTAGTTGGGGTATGACAATCTAACAATAATACCCTTAGACATTGTAAAAAGAGAGAAAATGGATCGTTGTACTTGGACTTTTTTATCCATTGTATCCGTCATCGTCTATCTTTTATGTCCATTTCTAGTTATATCCGAAATTGCTTGTCATTTTCTATTACATCTTCTATGTTTATTTTGGCCTATTCCTATCTCTTTAATACCTTCCTCTTTGTACAAGTCATTGCTTCTAATTTGTGCTCTTGATAGTCGGGTGCTAGCAACTGGAAGTTGCATTTCTTTAATTTTTTTAAGAGCCACCTAATGATTTGTTCCACATAGATCTACATTTTTATGATACCCCTTCTCTAGTAGCCACATCCTGTCTTGACATTTGCATTTGTACTGATTAATGGTGTGTTCATGTTGTCTTATGATGGCCCCATATTTTAGAAAGATACCAAGCATGCCACTTTTCTTACAGATTGTTCAATACAAGATATCACATTTTAGAAAATTGATCACTTCCATCGGAGTTCGGTGCTATTTCGAAAGTAATGGCTCTTAGTTCAAAAAATGTAATGCATCCTCACAGTGGTAAAATCTATATTGTGAAGGTTTCACATATTTTTTGATTTCATAGAGAGCTTAAAGCGTAATGAAGATGCACTTTATATTTTTTGTATTAGTGGCAGTTAATTTATATAGTGGGATAATGGGAACACATGCTTTAGTTTATATTCTCATATGAATGGTTTAGTTGAGCCCTATATGGAAACATTGCATGTTTTAAAAAAAAAGATTAGTTTTTGCTTGACGAGGATGTGCTTCCCCTTGCTTTAAGGTGTACCTGTGCAATCTTGTTATGATTCAGTCGCAATTCTCTGCCATCAACACCTTAATCTTTCACTATTAAGTGAGCTGTAACTGAATCCTATGATGAACAATACATTAAGGTCTTAGGTTAAGTGATAAGGAAAAAATATCTTGCTCCTTCGGAACTTTGAATGTTCTTCTTTGTTGCTTCAACACATTTTTCTGTCCTAAGTCCTCGCATAGTTTTAGTGATCTGGGGATCTTTGAGAAAGTTTCTTTTTTTCACCCAAGTATGTTTCTTTGCATCAAGGTTTTTGGGGAGGGCCAAGTTAGCAAAGCAAAAAGAATAGAAAGCCTCTCACTTAAAATTAGTTGGAGAGTGCTAAAATGAGTCAGGAATTACTATAAGATGGTCCATTTTTAGGAGTCAGAATGTGAATAACATCCTTTCATGCTCTAATATAAGGCCAACCCTCATGGCATACTCTTATGTCCTTCCATGTTAGTATTTGCCTACACCTACGTGCCTTGCACACTCCTCTTGCTAAAAGACTTGTGTTCTTACCAAGGAACTCAAAGGTCTACACTGGAGATGACCAAAGCATATGAAGTGGTACCTTTGGGACTTGGCAAAGAAAAGTCTATCTTGGTATAAGCCCAGGAAATATAGTAGAATGATCCTTTCCATAGAGTTACAAGTTGAATAAGTTTGGCAATTTCTATAGCTACAAAATTTATGTCTTTATCCGTCCACATTGCAAATTAATGTGAAGATCTTCTCAAGGAATTAAGGTATTGAAACAAGTGTCTGCTTTAACTTGCTCTTTAGTAAGTAATTTAGATATGATCAAAGTGTGGAATTCTTTTTTTATTTTACTTGTCTCAGAAGAGGGAGGTAACAAAGGCTATATATACACAAAGAATATGAGAAGAAAAAAGGAAAAGATTTCCTAAGATGTCCACAGCAACTAATTGCATGGAGCTATTACCCATAATCTTAAATTCCTAATTCCTATTTTACAATGATATCGAGTATCTTGTAAGGATACCGAGTATCTCTAAGGATACTGAATATTTCTACACCCCCTCAAACTGGGGAATATATATTGATCATTCCTAGCTTGGAGCATAGATTTTCAAATGCCGGTCTTTGGGGAGCTTTAGTAAGGATATCTGCAATTTGTTGTTATGGCGGCGTGTATCCAATACTAATAAGTTTGGCATTCAATTTTCTCGCTTATGAAATGTCGATCAATCTCAATATGCTTTGTCCGATCATGGTGGACCAAATTTTTTGCAATTCTTATAGCTGCCTCGTTGTCACATGAGAGTTTGATTGACACTGAAGTTTCAACTTTGAGTTCATGGAGAAGTCTCTTAAGCTACATCCCTTCACATATTCCGTGTGCCATTGCCCTATATTCGGCTTCTGCACTACTTCTGTACTACTTCTGCAACAACTGATTGTTTCTTACTTCTCCATGTGACAAGATTGCCCCATACAGAAGTACAATACCCTGAAGTAGAGCTCTAATCAGTGAGAGACCCGCTTCAGTCTGCATCAATGGATACTTTTATACCTCTATCCTAACCTTTGATAAAAGCAATTCCTTTTCCAGGTGTCCCTTTGAGATACCTCAGAATTCGATATGCTGCCTCCATGTGTTCATCTGTGGGATTGTTCATAAACTGGCATACAACACTTACTGGGAATCCTATATCTGGTCGTGTGTGAAAGGTAGATTAGTTTTCCCACTAGCGTTTGGTACCTTCCTTTGTTTATTGGAATGTTGTCTTGCTTGGATCCCACCTTGTTGTATAGATCCATTGGCGTGCCAGCTAGTCTACATCCAAGCGTGCCTGTTTCTTTCAGGAGATCTGGAACATACTTCCTTTGCGAGATAAAGATTCCTTTTCTTGATCTAGCAACTTCCATTCCGAGGAAATACTTCAACTTTCCAAGATCTTTAATCTCAAATTCCTTTGACAAAAGGGTTTTGAGATGGCCAACTTCTATGTGATCATTGCCAGTCAGGACTATATCATCAACATAGACAATAAGGGCAGATACCTTTTGATCAAAGGTGTGCTTAACGAAGAGCGTGTGGTCCGCTTGGCATTGAGTGTATCCCATTCTTTTGAGAACTTTAGAGAACCTATTGAACCAAGCCTGTTGGGACTGTTTTAGGCCATAGATTGATTTTTTGAGTTTGCATACCTTGCCTTAATTTTTCTCTGAGTTGAATCCTGGATGGAACGCCCATGAAAACTTCTTCTTCAAGATCGTCGTTGAGGAAAACGTTTTTTACATCGAGTTGGTGCAGCGGCCAATCTAGGTTTGCAGCGATAGTTAACAAGACTCTGATGGTGTTGAGCTTGGCAACCGGTGCAAATGTTTCTTGTATCTCTCAATCGAGTTGGTGCAGTGGCCATATGATTGAGTAAATCCTTTAGCTACCAATCGTGCCTTGTATCTCTCAGTTGTTCCATCAGATTTGTACTTCACTGAGAAGATCGATTCGCAACCTACTGTCCTCGTTCTTGGTGGAAGGTCTGTAATTTCCCATGTCTGGTTCTTCTCCAACGCCTTCATTTCTTCAAATGTTGTGTCCTTCCATGTTGGGTTTTGTAAGGCTTTGTGAATAGAGGTGGGAACCTGAGTTTCATCCAAAGATTATATATACACAAAGAATATGAGAAGGAAAGGAAAGGATTCCTAAGGGGCCGTTTACCAAACATTTACCCGGTAAGCGCTTACCGGTAAAATCTAACAATATCATTTACTTACCGGGTAAGATTTTAGTCCACCAAAATGGTATCGTATGCAACAATTTACCCGGTAAGTGCTTACCGTGGTAAGAGTCGTCGCTCTCACTTACCGGGTAAGACTCTTGGTCCTTGTCTCGCTCTTACCGGGTAAGATTCTTGGTCCTTACCATATTCATCCCATAAGGTAATGTGACTTGGTGTTTACTTACCCGAGTAAGCGTTTGGTAAATGGCCCCTAAGATATTCACAGCAACTAATTACAAGGAGAGATTACCCATAATCTCCAATTCCTATTTTACAATTATATCGAGTATCTTTAAGGATACCGAGTATCTAAGAATACTGAATATTTCTATACAAAGTGGTATTTTGAACCAAAGTGGTATTTTGAACTCTCTCCACCCCCACAAATTTTTTGATGGCTGACTAGGCATATTGTTCAATAAAAAATGTATTACTAAAATTTCTAGAATACCCTTAATGAATGATAAGGGAATCTTGTTGACTGAAAACAACCCCATAAATATTTTAATGATGACAATGGGACAATATGTAATCATAACTTAAGAAAAATTGCAATTGGATCCACCTTATGGGATTGGTATTGACAAATAGTTTATGATTCTAGTCGGGTTGTCATTTACCAACCTCTTATTGCTTCTTACCGAATAAGAGGCTCTTAAGCAGTATGAGGTGATGTTATTACCAAATCTTTTCTTCTTTCCCTCTGACCAAAAAAGCAATCGCTGAGCGGTTCTCTTACCGAACCAGCGACCAAATTGATGCTCACTGAATCGACATTTAGCAACAGATTTAGTAACAGAAAAGACGCGAATATATTGCATTTAGCAACGGATTATATTCCAACCGTTGGTATTTTGAGGATGAAAAACATTGCTCATGCATTAGACGCTTAGGCCAGAATACTTGGTAAACAATCATTTTTTAATCTGTGTTTTATCCAGACAGAGCCTCTTCGTCAGATGGTGCTTACTCAAATTGGTGGTAAACAACCCTTTACTTGATATCATGAGTGATGGCAGATGATCCCAAGAGCAAACCATCAAGATATAATAGTACTAATATTTGTAATGTAAATCAGATAGCTGGATATTGATACCGATAACAACTTTCCTGTCATTTTATATACTTTTCCATGAGATGGTTTGAATGAACTGTTATTTTACAGGATGTCACAGCTACAAAAGGAAATGAATTTGAGGACTACTTTTTGAAAAGGGAGCTACTTATGGGAATCTATGAGAAGGGTTTTGAAAGACCTTCCCCCATACAGGAGGAAAGCATCCCTATTGCTCTAACTGGTAGTGATATTCTTGCTAGAGCAAAAAATGGAACTGGGAAAACAGCAGCCTTTTGTATACCAGCTCTTGAAAAGATTGATACAGACAACAACGTCATCCAAGGTTACTATTCCTGGAAACTGTTATATTTTTGCATTTATTCACTTATCTATATAGATTCATGAATCACCTTAGATATTCATAGTTATTTGTTGATGACATGGTATGAAGTGTAATTGTAGGTGCTGTTTGTTTATTTTTTCACTAACCTTGTATGGATTAATGTAAATTGTTGTTTGTTCGTTGCGCTGAATAAACTGTCTGAATGACATAAATGACTATTTTACCCCTTATTGTTTTTTTTTCCATTAAGCTCTTGCTTTTTTCCCTCTAAAGTTTGACAATGAAACCCAAATACAATCCACATTTTTCTCACTTATGTCATCAAACACCTTATGTGCATTCTTCACTCCACCGATCTTCTTCTCTGGCCACTAAGGGCATGTTTGTTAGCTGCTTAATGAGCTTAATGGGACTCGCAACTTATTCGGTCAACTATACATGACTGTTTGTGAAACAGGTACAGGAACGCAATATATGAAATATGTAGGTTTTGTTTATAATAAACCCTGTACTGCTTTATCTTTGGAGGGATAACATGATGACTGTTGCTTTAAAAAAGAAATTGAGTAGTTTGAGCGTCCCTTATTAAGTGTAGTGATAAATGGTTTTGCTTCCAGAGGAATAAATTTTAGAGAATCTTTGGATCATAGATTTGGTGCTTTGGCATGCAAATATACTTTTTGGCTTTTAACCAGCAAATTTGCTTCTAACTTTCGTATTGCAAGTGACAATAGTTTACTGCTGCATGCGATGACACTTTGGTGTAAATCCATCTGACTTTATCGTTTATTTATTGTGGGTCATTTCTTTTTTCTATATGGTTTTAACATGGCTTACTCTCTTCTCAACCTCCCAAAAAACTAAATTGAGAAAGATGATCAGTTAATATCAATGCACAGCACAGTGGGGATGTTTGGTTCAGGTTGGGGAATGAAAATGAGTTTAACCTGGAACGAAAAATTTGGGCTTTTGGGAGAATGGGCCCATTATATTATATAAAACCAAACAATTTCTTTTATTTTCATTCCCATTGATTACTCCGTAATACCTCTAACCAAACACCCCCTGATACTTCATTTGCAGTGGAAGACACTTTCAACATTCTTCAGTTTTTGTTCTCACCTCTCTAGGTGCCCTTCCCAATAACTAAATCTCATTTTAGGTGTTAAATGAATATGTGTTCTTCTCGAAATCACAATCAAAAGATTAAGTTTTATTTGATCCTTGCAATACAAATGTTCCTGATATCATCTACTCAGTAAATATATGGATCTAAGCTTTAACATTTTAAGAATAGGTCTTTAGAACATGTTTCATCAGTGGGAGTTTGTTGTAAGACCAATAAGTGTTTTTTCTTGGTGCCAAAGTCACCTTTGAATCCTATATCTAACTTGCTGCTTCAATAATAAATGCAGTTGTCATACTAGTTCCAACAAGAGAATTGGCTCTTCAGACATCACAAGTTTGCAAGGAACTTGGAAAGCATTTACAAATTCAAGTAATGGTCACCACTGGAGGAACAAGTTTGAAAGATGATATTATGCGCTTATATCAACCTGTGCATTTACTGGTTGGTACTCCTGGAAGAATTCTTGATCTAACCAAAAAGGGAGTGTGCATTCTCAATGATTGTGCAATGCTGGTGATGGATGAGGTATCATGAATAACATTTGTCTGTCCTTTTGGCAATTTTTCGAATAATAAATGTGTGATAAGCAAAGTAAATTCATTTATCCAATAGAAATAGCATAACATTATCATAGATATCTAAAAAGATGTAGGAAACTTACTTTTTGAAAAATGTAGTACATGCTACATTGCTGTAAGATGAAGTATACATGATAACATGATGAAAACATCTAATGCAAGGGAACTTCTGTTAAGCAGTTTGCTGTTTTGTATCGTCTTATATAGTTCTCTTGTTGGATCTTCCCAATTCATTCTTCTGTTAATTTTTTTTTTGGGGGCTTTTATTTAGGACTTCC